ACAGGCCAGAGGTGTTCTGGAATGTTAGCGGCAGAAGCAATAACTGTAGAAAATAGAAACGCCAAATTAGGTACCATCACAGCACATCTAACCTCCAGATTCTACAATTCAAAGCAAAAGCCTATCCTTCTTGGATGCTTCTCTCCCAACTCCGTTGATCAATCTTCAAAATTCCTACCCAATCAGCAAAGCCTTATCCTCTGGTGGCAGCTTTCACCATGCCCAAAAGAGCAAACGCTCGACCAGAGTCAAGACGGTAAACCCCGGGAATACCGTAGCTTGGGAAAGCGGCGTCCGCCAGGCCCCTTCCACATGCAGGGTACTGGTACATGTGCCTCCAGGTCCTGTCTTCACAGAACCTAACCACACGCCCTCCACTCCTTCCCCCAGTTCCCACCAGTCCACTTCTTTGCCGTGAGGCCTCGGCGCCTTCTGAGTTCTAGACTCGACAACCTCGATCATCATCCGCCCATTGAATCAATCACTCGACGGCGACCGCGACGGCGCCCATGGCTCCTCTCCTTCAACTTCGGGGAGACGGACGCGGAGGAAATAGCCATGACTCTCTAACCACCAACCTAACACTGGCGGTCAGCCTGAGATGACCGAGACGCTTCGGGCCTGACCACTTGGAAGCCCTCCGACGCCCATCCAGGAGGCGGCGGCCGTTGTGGGCATCTACAGCAACGTACTAACTCAGCCTCAAGCTCAGCACCAGCCTCAAGGCCGATGACCTTGCTGCGCCGATTTGCCAGACGCGAGGCTCGTCTGTCCGAGTTCAACTCATGGAACGGGTCAGCTAAGCAGGCTATTGGACCATGGGCCGCCGTGGGCGCCGCTGGCGGCTCCCGCTGCGCGACCATGCCATGGCGCGCACAAGCACGAGCAAAAGGCAGAAAACCCCAAGACACAAAACAAGGCCCCGGGACCAGACGATGCAAAGGGGGAGGGAGGCGCCGCACCTATACGGGGAGCCGGCCCCTTGAGCCGCCCTCTTCCGCCAATCATAGGGCTGGAAGGGATCGAGATTCTAGGCCTATGACCAAATTCCCATCATGATCATGGGCGATTTCATCTGGCCTTGCCCAGCTTCGCATTCATGAATACCGGCGCCATTGCGATTCATACCCGCGCTCTACTGACCAACAGCTGGCATCCAGCATGTCTCGCCCACCCACTGCTCATGGCTCTGGGCCATGCAAGCTCACCCTCGCCAGGGCCTTTTGCAATCACCGACTTTGACAAAGAAACGAAGGGCCCTCCCTCGGAGGAGCTAGAGACCGGAGAGACAGGATGAAAATGGACTACGGGATACAGTATCGGGGTCGTGCATTCTTGCCATCTTGACCATCGACAGCCGCCCCATCATGAGTGAACGGGAGCCAGTACATGATGCCTTGGATTTTGCCTTCGGGATGCGTCATTCGACTGGGGGAGGCTTACATTACAGTACACCCTCGCATTGCGGCAGCGTTGCCTGTCGGCGCGACATGACGACAAAGCGGCCCGTTGCAGTCAGGATGGGATTTGCAAAGACGTCGGTGGCCATGCCATGTGGCCCAGGAAAGGGGGAACTGGGGAATTTAGACAAGCAGATCGTGTGTGTTGGCGCCGTGACATGGACGATTTGAAAAGTCGCACCCGATGATGCTGTCGGGATAGTTCTGGCGTGGTGCGATCCTTGAGCCAAACTTCGATTTCGACAACGGCCATGGCCCGATGGCGATCAGGAACAACCCACGGCGGACAGGGCGTGCGTCACTCATAACCCGGCTCCACACCCCCCCGGGCACTGTATTTGCTCCGGCCTTTCAAACTCAAGTCGAGCTCCAGTTTAGCTAACCCACGACCATCTGCTTGCCGACGAGCGATCCCCTATCAAGAACAAGCTCGACTTTGGCCCTGACAGCCGTCACGCTTCTCCGGGCATCGCTACGCACCAACTCGGCGAGTTTCGAGCCTCTAGCCGTAATGCCGCGAGGGCATCGACGTGATGGCGAGATTTGGTATGGCAGCGTGACTCTCTCACCCCATCCATAATCCCATACTCCAACGGTTTCACGGATTGGGATCGAGATCTTTCCCAGTGCAGTCGGGGAGCTACTGCGCTGCGGACATGCTCCTTCGTCCTCTGGGCCAACCACCAAGGGAGCATCCAAGTCGATGAGGCTCGCGCGTCTGTGGACTGGATGGGTGTGGAAGGGTGACGGTGACGCACCCAGCCGGTCATTGGGATCTTGCCGTGTTAGGGCAAATCAATCAATTGACGGTTGATCGCCATGCTCAGTTGCCCTTTTCTCATCATGGAGGATGCACGATGCGCCATAGCTCATGACAGTTTTGGCCCTGGCCTTGGACAGCAGAGCATCATGACGGGCCACAAGCTCTGTGCGACGCGACCACCATCACCATCAACAGCAACCGCGCGATGGTGGATTCTCGAGATTCCCGCGATGCCTCTTTGCAATCTCGCTCGCCTGACTCGCTGATCCCAGGCACCCATAGCTTCTGTTGGAGTTTCTGGTCACGGGCGCCGGTACGGTAGCGTTGCGTTGCGTTGGAGCGACCTCAATATTCGCCCATGGCCCCAGATATGGTCCACGGATGCATCCATTGGACCAAGACGGGGCATCTCGATGTCGTCCAGGTGCCGCCCTATCGTATACGTAGCCGACGACAGGGCCCGGGTCCACGCTTCTTGTTTTTCGACCCATTTGAACTTCAACTACTGTACTGTATGGAGCGCGGTACATGCTGCGTGCGGTGCGGTTGCTCAGCCCAGCAATGTCCGTGCCAATGCAATGGCGGCCAGAGTGGGAGCTTGTTTGATGATCAAGCTGGCTTGCTCCAGCAAATGCCGGCCCTTGCATCAATCATCCTTCTCGAACATCGAGGCTCGACATCCATCGACAGAGACATGGAGCTTTAAAACAAGAGGCAGCGAATGAAGCCAAGCCAGTGAGACCAGAGGCGGCCGCCAAGGCTGTGTGTCCTGACGGCGGATGGTTGTTTGTACCTCTACCACGGAGGCATAGTCTCACACCCCCCCTTGCGAGCTGGCCGGGCTAGACCACGCCCTCTCTAGTTCCTGGCGAGCCTCTGGCCTCTGGTGAGAAGACAGAGAGACGCACCGCACCGCACTACACCGGTGCACCCCCCAAACGGGAGTGCCATGAATGTAGGAATCTGATGTTTTGTGACCACTTTCTCCTCCACACGCACGCCTCTTCTCATGCTCACTTCACTTCCGCTCTCACGATTCTATCCTCGCTTCCAAAACCCTGTCTTTCTTTCTCTTTCCCATTGAACTATCTCTTTTGTTTTGCCGGTGGCTGCGGCACCTCAGAGACTGCCCCGTATCACCCCCTGGACCCTGTCTTTGCACCCCATCTACAGCATTGGGATCCCACGATGCCCTGAGTCGCCCTCTCATCGCTCGTTCTGATAAACTCCTCTCCACAGCGGATTTGTCTGTGTTGAGTAACTAACTCTCACGCCCCCTGCTTTGTTCTTCCTCAAGGAGACCCTCTTCCCTTCTCTTGCGATCCCATTCTTATATCCTTCCCTACCTTGCCAGGCTGGTTTCGTGCGCGCAACGCACACGCCAACGGGAGTCGTTCTAGGTCCAGAATCGATACTTGACCCGACTTGCGACTTGCAGCAGTACCCGGCGCCGGACTTGACTCCTTGGCCCGTCACCTCATCAGTCGCCTCATAAGATCCAGTCCCGAGATCACCTGCCAACCCTGCCCTCCGGAACCCTCGAGCAATCACTCACCCTTGGAAGGGATTGCCTGCTTGCGCCTGTAGCAGACTGACAGACCGTTGACCATCTTCATCCTCTCATCGCCGTTGGACGCAGCCATCTTCTGCTAACCCACCACGGAAGACCCAACCTTGGTTTGGGGCAATCGAGATATCCGATCCTGCCTCTGCAAACTCTGGGGGTGCCAGTATCTGTCCGCCATCCATCCACCCATCCACTCACTCCCTCACTCACTCACAAGCTCAAATCATCCCTACCTCTCTCTACTCGGTTGTCCTCCGCCTCCCGCTCTCCCGTCGACGCTTTCAACTCAGTTAGCTGGCTGTGGTGGCATGTCAATTGCTCTGCCATTTACACACGCCCGTCATATGTCCCAAGTCTCCCCGGCTCCAGGGATCGTCATACTACGCCAGTAGTAGTTCCTCACTTACCTCTTCTCACCTTCTGCGTCACTCCATTTCTCTCGCTTGTGCTGTAGGTGACTCCTGTTCTCCTCGTCATTCTCCTCCATCCCTCTCCTCTCCCCCTTCCCACGACTCTCTTGCAGACCAATTAGCATGTCATATGCTTCTAGATCCCTGAGCTCATGACAGCCTTCTCTCGCACTTCTCCAAGGTCTCCTGTACCACATCCCCAACCTGCCTTTCACAACGTTGATCATTGCCCCCAGAGGCGCCAAACACACATACCCTTCCCCAGATCTCTCTGTCCAACAAGGCTTATCATTCTTACACATCCCAGAGTCATATAGCAATATCTGTCTCCGACAACAACTTCTTTCCGACTCGCTCAACTAGGAACGACACCATCAGTCCACCATAACTCTGGCTTGACCCCGCGTCTCAGGATCCACCTTGTCGACTGGCAACTGCACGACCCATTTCAACCCAACACTGACATCGTCTTGTCAGCAGCCCTGAAAGGACACTCACCAAGATTCAGCTGGCTCATCCACCGATACGACCGTGACACAACCCTTCACTTACTCATCCGACATCTCCTACGATCTCAGCCACTGACAGGTGCCGTGCCGCAGCTGTTGAGTGAGCGTGAACAACCCACCACCGGAGCGTCAGTTCAGCTGTCGCCAAAACCCGTCCTGGTTTGCAGGCCAACTCTTTACCCCATTCACCCACATCCGGATAGATGTTAAGTCGTCATCCTGGCACCAATCAAAGCAAGAAAACCGGTTGTCTTTGGAGGGAGGTTCCCCGGAACTTTCCAGCTTAGCTGCATGTCTTCCGATCTTGAAAAGATCTTTGGCGAGTTGGGCTTGACCCAGTACCTGGGCACATTTGTCGAGCAGGGGTTTGATGAGTGGGACATTATCCTTGACATCCAGGAGTCAGACCTGTGAGTTCAACTTAACTCGGGCTCGAAATCGGGACTCGCGCTGATAGGGGTGATTTAGTGATGCCTTGGGTGTTAAACTCGGCCATCGAAGGGTATGTTTTCCGTTGCTGCCCACTTGGTCCGAGTCGCTAATATGGGCCGTGTGATAGAAACTACAGAGAAGGATTGCCAACGCTCGAGGCATCTCCCCGACGGCATCATTGGTGACACCAGTAAGACCACCAAGCGAGGAAGTCAAGCCTGAAGGCGTCCCACCAGAACCTCCTCGGCCGGAAAGCCACCAAGAGGGGCAGGGGGTTGCGAAGCGAAAGTACCGACGACATCCAAAGGTAAATCGGGACAGGGATTCATTCGTCGAGTTCTCTGCTAACGAATAATCAGCCGGATGAAAATGCCCCAGAGAGACCCCCCTCCGCATATGTGCTGTTCTCCAATAGTAAGTTCCCACTGAGTCAGACGTTTGTCCGTGATGGCAGAGTACTGACAAGAGGGTTGTGTATAGAAATGAGAGAAGACCTGAGGAGCCAAAACCTCAGCTTCACCGAAATCGCCAAACTTGTAGGAGAGAACTGGCAAAACCTTGAAGCGGTTGAGAAGGAATCGTACGAGAGCCAGGCCAATGCCGACAAAGAAAAGTACCATCGAGACTTGATGGAGTACAAGAAGACAGCCGACTACAGGAAGTATATGCAATACCTCCAAGAGTTCAAAGAGAAGCAAGCCAAGCGAACTCAAGGTTTGTAGCCAGAGCAGCACTAGATGCAGATACTGCAGAGATATAGTTCTTGAAGCTGACTTGTTGTCCCGGGTATAGTCAACGATGCATCAAAACGACCTAAGCTGGACTCTGTCCGGTTACGCCATGGAAGCAGCAGCAGCACAATGACGCCCGGCGGCAACACGTCGAGTGCAAGTGGAAGTGGCAGCGAGAGACTTCAGGGGAGCGAGCCACCTCCATCCAGGAGGGAGAGGTTGAATTCGATCGCATCGGTAACTGAATCGCAACACTCGTCAACGACACCGACGTTACCGTCGCAAGCGAATTCGAACGACGACACCATGTCATCACCACGAGTCCTTCACTACGACAGCGGGAGCCCAAGAGATTCGCATCGCCAACCTCCGCAGCGTCAGTCGTCATGGCGAGAAGGTGGCCCAACCCATCAACACCTGCCATCGTTGTCCAATATGCTCGATGATGGTAGGAAAGCCATGCCGGCTGCGACCGGATCCGAGGGTAACCCGTACTCGTCCGGCTTCGTAGCCGCCAACCATCCCAGGTCGGTACCGGAGGTTCCGAATGTGCTCCCTTCAGCGCCAGTGAGAGCACCGTTGCTCCGACACGAACAGTCCTCCAACAGCAGCGTTGGATCGATCAGTCCAGCAAACAGCTTTGCGCGGACACCCGGCGAGGGACCGCTACCGATACACGCTCTCCTCTCGCACCACCAAACGATGCCGACTCCGGCCGTGACTACGGCAGCAGTCTTTGAAAGGGGCTCGCCTGGTTCTGGCACTGGCGCAGTCAGTCCAAGCCCGACAGACCTAACACGGCCCCCTTTCGGGCATGGGGCCGTGCCTAGGGGATATGGTACTTGATCCTCGCGATGTGTAGACTTCGTCAGGAGGTCAAGCTAATTCGGCTCACAAGGCTTCCGTCCTCTGCCACCCACTGGGCTGCTTGGCAGGGCAGAACCAACCGGGGATGCCGACGTGTTAATGACACCAGCTCCCGACCTGATGGCCCCCATCCAGGAACACTCCATCAGACCTCGACTTGATGGGATGAGTGTTCTCCTGAGAGCGGGAGAGCTGGTTGAACGACATGAACGACATGATCGAAGATAAGACTTTGGAACGAGTGCTTGCAACGGATGGATCCACGGTCTAGTCCACAATGATAGGTAGGTTCCCGCGTGAGGAATATGTTTCTCACCCAGAGAGAGATAGCTTTGTGTGTTTTTTCTTCTTGGATACCCACGGATTATCATGTAACCTACTGAATGAGACGAAATTGGGCATTGGCGGTTGGTGGTACGGTTCGGTACGTATATGTATGTATGTAATGGGTGGCTGGCTGGTATGGATGGGTATTTGCGGACTCGATTGTGAGTGCAGTCGTGCGTGGGCTTCGGCGTTTCGGGCTCTGGTATGGATCCCAAAGCAAAGGAATCAAAAAGGATATCTGGACTGTCAGTTGTATAAATGAAAGGTGGCATACTGAGTAAGGTAGGCTGGGTCTGGGTAACGACGACATTATATATACTGGCATGTCTGCGTATTTTTGTATGTGTGTGTGTGTGTGTGTGTGCATGTCTGAGAGGCTGAGTGAGAGAAATCCTGTTTTTGGTAGTGGTAAAAGAAGGGACTAGAAGCAGGACATAAACAAGAAATGAAGAGGCAACAATAAACGAATCTGACAGAAGGCGAGAGATCTGCGCTTGTGCCTGTGTGTGTGTGTGTGGTCGGTCAAGGTTGAGAAAAAGCATCAGACCACTGGGCAGCACATTGAGGCGAGGGACCTTTTGCAGTGGATTTGAAACAAGAGGGGGGGCGACGATCAAAAACAGGTAAAAAGGAGGAAACAGAGGAGAGAATTAGTTAGACGAAAAGAGAAGAAGAACAGGAGGGGATCATATCGTGTTTAAAGTAACCACACAGGCTTTTGGCTTTCTCCCTTTCCCACCCCCCAACTTTGAGTGAGGCTTTCGTTCCTTCCTTCCCACTTCGTCATAAGGGTCCAGTTGTCAATCCGTCAGTACGTCATGGCGCAGCCACGTTTTTATTTTATTTTGGTGCCTGTTTTGGGGAAAGGAGGGAGGGGCAAGGGTCCTTCCCATCCATTCACGTTGATCGTGGGGGGCGTGGGACATGGAGATACTGAGCAAGAGGGGTCCTCTCTCTCTCTCCATACGACGTCAAGTCATTGAAGCTTGGAAGGGGGAGGGGGCGAGTGGCTTGCTTGGGTGCCACTGTACCATCTGATTATGTCGTCGTATCGTCGTGCCATTCAAGTCGAGAACCAACATGAGGGGGTTCCAACATTGTGAGTCTATCTGGCTGGCATGGCAATTCACGTTCACCTCAAGGTACAGACAGTAACTTTATAAGAACTAGACAATCAGGCCCTTCAAGTGCAAAACATAAACCATCTAATTTCATTCATTCCCATCTCATTCATGCCCATGTCGTTGCATCGTATCCTCTCATCGGATGTTGTTGCACCATTTCCATCCATCCGTTGACCTGCTCCCCAACGCCTGGATATCAATCATCACACGACTTCCAAAGCCCAAGACCACACGCACGCACGCAGCCTGCCATGACTTCATGTACAACAAACAAAGGCGCTGCACAACCACAAGTACAATTACCCCACTGCTCAATTACTCTTCCTCAATCTCTGCCGTCCAGTCCTTGCGGATCTCCAACTCTGATAGGTCAGCCGTCTTCTCAATCACTAGACCCTTTTCGTTGGCCAAGTGCAGCAGACAGATGAAGCAGTATGATGTCGAGATATCATCCATCACCGGCTTGGGATATACCGCTTGCAGGTTGTTCATGACCGAAGTAAACTTGAGTGGCTCATCCTGGTTTGCCTCGGCAGGGGTCTGGGCAGGTTTCTACGTTCAAGCATTAGTCTGGTGTCCAAGTTATTAGTTGCACCCACAAACTTACCTCCAGAACCTCCATATCCATGCCCTTCCAGATCTCCTCCTTGAGTCTTCGGACGTCCACCTTCTTGGCCACTCTTGCGTATTGGACGTACTCTGGCCGCACCCTCCTTGTCTGAGTGACCAGCGTTGTTCCGAATGCTCCAGTATTGGTCACCGTCTCGCCGCCGAGGAGAGCTGTGAGACCACCGCCCTCTGTCAGGCCAGCTGGGCCATCCACCCCTGGTGAGAAATGCTCCCGTGCATCTGAAAATTCGAGATCATCGTCGTCGTCCAAGTCACCACCGGGGAACGGCATGCCGTCATCTTGGAAGAAGTTGGCGTCATAATCACCCTGTGGAAGCGCTGTGTCGTCCGAGTTCTGCATGGGCGCCTTTTGCTTAGCCCAGAACGCCTCGTCCATCTCTCCTTCGGGCTGGTTGTCCTGGCCAGTGTTACCGAAGCCACCGGCCCGAGCGCCAAATCCAGTTCGTCGTCTGCCCATTCGGGCCTTGGGCTTCAAGAACAAGTTCAGTAGGGACTTGGAGTTGAAGTGCTTGTCGTCAGGAAGGAGGTTGCGTGACTTGGACTTCCAGTCCTTCTTGGGCATGCTGATAGTAGAGTTGCTGGCAGCCTGTGTGTATAGGACATCAAACGCATGAGAGTCGATAGGTGCCGCAAAGTCAATCTCGAAGGGCTCCTTTTCCTTGCGCTTCTTGGTCTCGCCCGCAGGCTTGTTGACATCCTTGATCTTCCGGATTCTCCAGTGCTCGGCGCTTGACCAGTTCTTCTGCAATGCCTGATCAAAGAATCCAAGGATATCTTCGTGCATCTTGTCCGCCTTTTGTGCACTGGTCATCGAGACCACGTACTCTCCATTGTTGTCAAACCCTTCTCCGTCACCGCCTTCTTCACCGAGACCGGCGTCATACACTCGCATCTGCGGCTCCAAGGCGGCTTCTCGGGCCCATGCTTCACCACCCTCACCGAACGCGACCTCGCCCAGCACGTCGAAGGAGCCCAGTCCGAGGTCGTCGTCATCAAAGCCAGCAGGAGCGTCGCCGTCGATGACCAGTCCGGAGATGTCACCTAGAGCGCCTGGAGTCTTTTCCTTGTCCTGATCTTGCCTCCAGTCCTCGGGTGCCTTCAGGAAGGGGATATTCATGGATCCAGAGGGATCTCCCAAATCAAACGTCTTGAGAGAAGGGCACACGTCGAGTTCGTCGAGCCGTTGCAAATCGGGGATGAACTTGGCTCCCAGAGCCCCCACATCGATCTCGACATCAGCTTCCTCCTCTTCTTCTTCTTCGATAGGCTCTTCCTCTAGTGGTTCGGCTTCCTCATCTTCCTCGTCGCCGAAATCCTCAGACTTCTTTTTTCCTAGGGTGTTTGCGTCTCCAGAGTCGTCACTGCTGTCAAAAACGATACGTCCTTGTGAGTCAATCATGAGATGGTTTAGCAGAAGTCCCTTGGCACCGCCCTCGTCAAAGTCGGCAGACGCCTTCTTGAAGAGGGGGTCAACGGCAAATTCTAGCTCAAATTTCTTGAGCTGTAATGAGTTGAAAGATGGGGCCAAGGTAGCTTCGGATGATCGTTGCGTCTATGAAACGTCAGTATGAACCATAGAGAGCGCCAGGATCTCCCCATTACCTTCTTCTTGGGCTTTTTCTTCACGTTGCCATTCTCATCCAGCTCTTCCTCGTCGCTATCCTCGCCCTCTTCGCCATCCCGGTCCTTCTTCTTGGAATTGTTGCTATCGGCAAGACCACTCAGCAGCTTGCCCGTCTCGGTTGCGACACTGTCGACTCGGTTTGTGTAAATCTTGACACACCCATCCAGGGTGCAACTGGCCTTTTGAAAGTTGACACCATCACCCTCTTTCAAGAGCGACATGTCGTGAAAGTAGTCGATGAGGGCAAAGTTCCACGAGTTTGTAGCGTTGATCTTGTTGTCGGTCGCCATCTTCATCCACTCTTCAAAGTTGGCGAGAATCGGGACACGCTTCATAGGCGTGACCGCAGTTCCGCCTACTACAAAACCCTCATCATCGTCAATGTTAATGCTTCGGCTGCCGTGGGGAGTGCGGGGATCGGCTCCTGGCGAGTTCTCCATGTCGTCGCGGCGGAGGCTGACCTTGCGAGGGGTTGCAGCCTTTTTGATCTCGTTGAATTGTCTCTCTTGAAGTGCTCGCCTGGAGCTCATGCGTTGACCCTTTTCGTGGACATCGTCGTTGAGCGGGATCCTGCGGGATGCGTTAACATCACGGTTGCTATGGAATGTTCGGTGAGGGCTTACTTAATGGGCGACGCCGTCTTGAAAGGTGAGGCAGCGCTGGAGCCAGTATTGGATCTGGCATTCCCCGGACGGGGAACTTGAGCAACACGAGGCATTTTTGGAGTCTTTTGCGCGGATTGTGAAGGCAAGAAGGCTGAATTCAACGAGGCCTGGCGCGTCGTCGTCGTGGTGTTGCGGGACCCCCCTTGCCAAAGTAAACAAAATAAATGCGGCGTCTACTGTATTGGTTCGTGGGGTAAGGTTTGGGCCAACTAGAGTTGGTGGTGGAGGGACGGGAGTTGAGCCTTGTAAATCAGGCACAAAGTGTGGCTGAGACTCTTCAACTGCCACAGCCACGGCAAGTACACGGCCAGGTACCTCGAGCGGGGTGGCAGGTACAACGCTTCGGTGCCTTTTCGGTGAACAGGCGGTGGAGGAATTGAATTCCCCTCCCATCAACACGCACCTTCCCTACTTCCGTCCGAAACGGAGAATAACGGAGAGTTGCCAAGGCAGGAAGGCGTGTACAAGATTGTACCCCTGCCCCATGTCTGCATAAAAACAAAGTGCCCCCAATCAGCACGTGGCAGCGCCAAAGCCAAGCACGTTGGACATTGTGTTTGAGCCAGGTCGCATCGGCGTCGCGCATGATTTGTAGCCGGATCTCTATTGATCAAGAGTGGCTGCTGATCTTGTGAGCGAGCGCCACTGTGCCAGTCTGTCACTGCCAACTCTAAACTGGGCAAGACCACGCCGTGCCGAAGCCAGCGGTTCCTCTCCAAGACTCTTGGAGGGCTGGGCCACACTGTGGCGAGAGCCGGCTAATCTCCGCCGCGCGGCCTTCTATTGGACGTCGCCGGCGGCCTCCCTTGGGGTACCTAAGGTTGTCGTCACGGAACAAGACGAAATGGACCCGTCACACGGGGACGCCAAGTCTCTGCGAGCTTGGATTCTGCCCGCTTTTGGCCGTGGGATATCGCCGGGGGGGAAGAAACTGTGCTGTAACTAACTCTATGGGATCCTCCTCGAATCCGAGCCCGAGGCAAGGCAGGCACGACGTGGACAGGACGTAATATGTCATGATACTTGGGTTGCGCTACCTAATCTACAGCATCTTCCCTACCTAGTCTCCCGTCCCCATATGACCCGCCTCCATCCATCTCCCTCACTAACACGCACTTCTCTTTGAGCTCCCAAGCTTCTTTCTCCCTTTCCCCTTCCTCGGTCACCGAGTGAGGATGGCCTCGGCAGCTATCGCGGTATAACATGTCGACAGCAGTTACATCATGACAATGACAACCCCTCGTGGGCCCATCCGCCCTAGCGGAATGGCCAACGGCCGCAATCCGAGCTCGAACCGATTCTTCAGAGGCAGCCGCCTCCAGTCTCGCCCTTTTTACGTTACGATCCTGATCCTTTCGATCCTCACGGCATACTCTTTCCTATCGCACACGACTGCCGCGCGTTACGCCTCCCGCAGCGACACGACCCCCGCCGAAACTCTGCTCTTCAAGCGCAGCTCCTCGCCGCTCGAAGCCCCCGAATGCAACGACGTCCACGATGCTCAGGATAAATGCGCCTTTGTCAGGCAGTATTGCGCCGACGACGATGCCGGCCTCATCCATTACCTCGACCTCTACTACTGCGCCTTCGCCGATATCCAACCCATCGCATTCAGCTTGCTCGTGATATGGCTGGGTCTTCTCTTCACCACCATTGGCATAGCTGCGAGCGACTTTTTCAGCGTCAATTTGAGCACAATTGCAACAATTCTTGGCCTGAGCGAGAGTCTAGCTGGAGTCACTTTCCTCGCTTTTGGAAATGGTTCCCCAGATGTTTTCAGCACATTTGCTGCCATGGGCTCCAACAGCGCCAGCATGGCCGTTGGCGAGCTTATTGGCGCCGCCAGCTTCATCACTGGTGTTGTCGCAGGCTCCATGGCACTTGTCAGGGAGTTTCGCGTCGATCGTAAGACGTACGCTCGCGACATTTGCTTCTTTATCCTTGCAGTTATCTTTACGACCATCTTTCTGGCCGACGGCCATCTGCACTTGTGGGAGTGCTGGCTCATGATCGGCTACTATACCATCTACGTGATCACTGTTGTGACCTGGCATTGGTACTCAACCAGGCGGAAGCGGAGGCAGCGCAGAGAGGGGGAGGCGCGCAGTCACGTCTACGGGCCCATTGGGCACTCTGGAGATGAATTGGCTGGCGAGCCGTACCGGGACGACCCTGATGAGGTTGGGTCCGGCCCAGGCGCCTCGAGTTCTGCTCCGCTTGACATTTCAGTTCTTGAAGCTGGACCTAGGATTGAGATCGAGGGTCAGGAACCAGAGTCAAGTGATACGTCCAGCGAGGACCATGATCGAATGGTCGCCGCTGAGGTCGCCAGCAGCATGCGAGTTCTTCGGGGCAGACCTGGTAGGAGGCATACTTTGACTCCTATCAGACCCAGTCTAGTTGGTGCGCTCGAGTTCCGGTCGGCCCTCGCCCAGCTGCAGCGCGAGGGCAACCTGCAGCTGGCGCCCATTCCAGAGAGAAGCTCATCTGATCATCATGTCCACCACAGGCGGAGGGTGACTACGACGACGATGCCGGACTCCCGCTCTGATGGTCTGCTCGCTACCGCGCGCGCCGACCATGAACTAAGGAGAAACAGAGCCCTCTCCTCAGGGGACCAGCCGGTTGGGCCTTTAATCGATCATGACTTGCTGATGCCCAGCAGCCGAGATTCAGGCGACGGCAACCTGTCTGTCCCTCCGTCGAACGCCAGCGGAACGCGATCACCAAGCCCGAGTCCGTCTTATACCGTCGGAGGCAACTTGGCTCCCCCCCCTGTCGGCCCGAGCGGGACTACTGATGATGCTCCAACTGAGGATCACCAGAACAAATTGCTCGCTCCTCAGCTCGAGTTGCAGATTCCCAGTCGTCGCAGCAGCTACAGTGATAGATCTTCACCAGTCAGCCCTTTCCCCATGTACACGGACTCACCCGCCCTGCTCACGCCCAACTACCAAGCTGAGCCCACCGAGTTCTTGTCACCAGGAGCTGTCTCACCCGGCACCACGCCTTCAAATGCGGTAAGCCGTGAAACACCGTTTGCAGATCTGCAGCGGACGGCGGTATCGCCGAGTCGTCCTGTGAGATGGTGGCCATATGCTGTGCTGCCACCTCCGCATATCCTCTTGGCAACTTTATTTCCCACGTTGCAGGGATGGAGTGAGAAGACGGCCTGGGACAAGTTCGTCAGCGCCATTTCTGTGCCCAGCATCTTCCTTTTGGTCACGACTCTACCTGTTGTCGACTCTGAGACGACTGACGACGACTTGTCCATTCTGGACACGCTCCTTGACCACAGTGTTCACCACCACGATCATAACCCAAGCTTTGGGCATATGGCTCCGCCCGTGTCTATAGAACACGCGGCGATAGAGCCAGAGTCGGAGTGGGAGCGCTACCGTAGACATACCCTCCACAGTCGCGGGAACAGCTACATCGCCTCTTCTGCCACCACTCCGTTCACACACGCCGAAGAAGGAGAAGCTGTGGAAGATTCGAATTTCTCACTGGGTCCTCCGGCCATCGTGACAAAGCCAGCCTCCGATTTTCCATCCTCCAGCAGTGTCAAGAATGACTGCACGGGTTGGAACCGATGGCTCGTGGCGCTCCAGCTCTTCACCGGACCCCAATTCGCTGTTTTCGTCCTTTGGGCTAATATGTTGGAGGACTGGGAAAATCCTCACAAGGTTCTGGTCCGAATGGTGATGTACTCGCTCCTGGCCTCGCTTGTCCTGCTAGGTATTCTTGTCCTCTTTACGACGGAGGAGAGACGCCCAAAGTATCATTATATGCTGTGCTTCATGGGATTCATCATCAGCATAGCCTGGATATCGACCATTGCAGGTGAAGTCGTGGGGGTCCTGAAAACAGTTGGCGTCATCCTCAACATCTCGGAAGCTCTGTTGGGACTTACAATTTTTGCTGCTGGAAACAGTGTTGGAGATTTAGTCGCCGACATCACAGTGGCGAGGCTTGGATACCCCGTCATGGCCTTGTAAGTATTGTTCCGGTCTCTCAAAGTGCACAACTGACAATGACTTTGTAGGTCTGCCTGCTTTGGAGGACCCATGCTGAACATTCTCCTGGGTATCGGCATCGGCGGCGCCATGATGATGATTCAAAAGGCAAACAAGAAGCACCGCAAGGATCCCAGTCATCCCATCAAATACAAGCCTTATCGCATCCAGGTCGGCGGGACTCTGATGATCTCAGCCATCACACTCCTGGTGATGCTTGTGGGCTTGCTGATTGTGGTGCCGATGAACAAGTGGATTCTGAGTCGAAAGATTGGATGGGGACTGATTGCTCTCTGGGCAGTGAGCACGATTGTGAATGTGGTTGTTGAATTGACTGGTGTATGGGGAGAGATGTAACTTTGGATGGGCCCTAGCAACATGGCCTTGATAGCATCATGATAGACGACATTCTATAGTTGAACCTTTTCGAGCAATCGACGAATATATTTGCTTCAATTGACGTTGGATATCACGAAGAAAAGTGCACCTGATACCGAATTGTAATCCAATTTAGCCGGTGAAGCGTGGTCTAGAAGAATAAGGGGTGCGAGCCACGAGGGTTGCAAAGATTAAGAACGTCTGATTGACAAAAATTATAGAGATGGCAGAAGATATATGGCAGAAGATATATGGCAGATGATAAATGGCAGATAATAAATGGCAGATATGATTGATTATACAGCAAATTACGCTGTAGGGTTAGTCATGTAGCATGCTTCGTAGAATGTTAGTCAAGGCGGGGGTCGAACCAGAGCACTCGCTACTAAGTTCTGCGAGAACTCGGGAACGCGACGCTTGCCAGTTCCGTCACTGCTCTCGTTGGGAAGACTTGAGTTAAATTCAATGATAATACTTCCCCCCGTGGTGCGGGTGCTGCAGCTGGCGGGCAGCTGGCGAGCTTATTTTCTGATGCGCCGCTCACCGAGAGCTGACCGAGGGCGCTTCCGCGGTGAGGGACCCACTTGTTGTCTGCGAACGGCTCGGAGGTCGGAGGAGCGGTCCACCGATGGTGTCGGTGGGGACCCCACTTTAAAAAAAAAAGGCGGCCGAGATTTCGCTTGCGGGAGATCGCAGTGGGGGTAGACAAATTAAGATGGTCGAATTGCAGAGAGGGTCATGATGGCTTCAAGCTTCTTGTTGATAGCGCATTAGCCTCGAGTGGATGTTTGTTTCTGAGAGTAGAGCTCGAGGCAAGGCTGGCCAGGCATATGTACACTCAGCCGCTGAGTTTGAACAAGACGAGGGGACGAGCTGAACGGCAGCAAAGAACCATCCTCTTCATGACATGCTGTCCTCATGGCTTCGAATGGCGCGTTCCTAGTCAAGATCTTGTCAATCTCATCTCGCTTCAACAACTGCGCCTCCACGACATGACTCTCTACCGTCGTCCGGTCAAGCAACCCCTGGAGTGGCTTGGGCGATTAATATCTGTAAATGGGCCAACGTGGTCTTGTGAGAGGAGGGATCTGTCGCGTAATCCATCGTTTCGAGGTGATCGATGCTCCCGCGTGACCAGTGTTGAAACAAGATGAATTCGTCATGGGCTTCAAGATGCCAGATTGCGCTTATTGATGTTGATGTTTGATGTTTGGTCCAAGTAAGAGGCAGCACAGAGTCAAGTATAAGAAGTGCGGACGTGGTCAAGCTCTTGCCCGTTCAGAGCAGGTACATTACAGTAGCTTCCTTCGTTGCCCCGCACCCTTGCATCGCAGCTGCCCCTCAGACCCCTTCCCCCCTCCTCAACACCATTGACCCAGCTACTTTGGGTATTCTGTGTCATTTTTTCTTCTTCTTCCTTGTTTCTTCATCAATCGCCCTCACAGATTCTCACAATGGCCAACCCTCCTCCTTCCTACACTCCCCTCGCGGAGCGTCCTCTCAAGGACACCATCTGCCTCTTCGACGTCGACGGCACCCTCACCCCCGCCCGCCTGGTACATGCTGCTCGTCCCTCCACCGCCCTCCTTCGTCGCTAACAATCGCAAAAAGGACGCCTCCCCCGAGATTCTCCAGATCCTCGAGGACCTCCGCGCCAAGTGCTCCATTGGCTACGTCGGCGGCTCCGACTTTGCCAAGCAGCAGGAGCAGCTGGGCAAACCCGCTGGCCAGCCCGTCACCGCCCTCTTCGACTTTTGCTTCTCCGAGAACGGCCTCACTGCCTACAAGCTCGGCGAGCCCCTCGAGTCCAACACCTTCATCAAGTGGATCGGCGAGGACCAGTACAAGGAGCTTGCCAACTTCTGCCTCCACTACATCGCCGACCTAGACATCCCCGTCAAGCGCGGTACCTTTATCGAGTTCCGCAACGGCATGATCAACATCAGCCCCGTCGGCCGTAACGCCAGCACCCAGGAGCGCAACGACTTTGAGAAGTTTGACAAGGACGCCAAGGTCCGCCAGAAGTTCGTCGAGGCTCTGAAGGAGCGATTCGGTCACCTCGGTCTGACGTATGCTAAACTCAACCCATCATGACAAGACCCCCCATGGCTAACACACACCGCGCAGCTTCTCCATTGGAGGCCAGATCTCTTTCGACGTCTTCCCTACTGGTTGGGACAAGACCTACTGTCTCAAGCACCTCGAGAACGAGGCCAAGAAGCCCGATGGCATCACCTACAACACCATCCACTTCTTCGGCGACAAGACCTTTGAGGGCGGCAACGACTACGAGATCTACACCGACTCCCGCACCGTCGGACACTCCGTCACCGGCCCTGAGGACACCATCCGCATCCTCAAGGAGCTCTTTGATCTCTAGATACATATGCTGGCGTTGGAACAAGAAGCAACAAAAGCACACATACACGTACAATAGACATGAGACCAAGAAAATACAAAATTTGCGCATATATCCATCAATAACTGCTCTCAATATTTATCAATTGCCATGTGATAAGGGATATTATCATGTCCAAAAATAGGTATTCAACATCAAGGTATATCCAAATGTATAAGCAAGTCTTCGTCAAGTCATATAAGCCGCTACATGTGCAACACCAAATGCCCGAAACCTGTCACCAACTCCATCCTCCTCAGGATCAACATCCAGCTCTTCTAGTTCCCTCATCGTCCATACTCCAAGTGAGGGATGATGACGGGACCGTACTTGGTCGGCGCTGTAAAGGCCCCGTCACCCTGTACCACGAAATCGACAGCCAGGCTGACCTTGGACAGGCCCTGCCCGTGCTGTGAGCCGTTCAGACTTGGGTTGGGGCTAAAGGCTGCCTGGCTCTGCGCCGCCAGGGCGTCTTGATCATACGACACGACAGCGACGTAGTTTCGGCGGCCCATAAGCTTCTTGAGTTCCCGCGCGGCACCACTGGCATCAGTGTGGAAGATCTCCATCATGTCCTCCTTGGTGTCCGACACCTCGTGCGTCGACTTCTTGCCATTCTGAGGCACGTACAGCGTCTTCTGATTGTGCAACATCTTGAGGACATAGTTGCTCTGGGGCGCCGCCACGATTGGCGACGAGATGATCTGGTACATGGTCTTGTGGTCACCAGGGTGAGTGGGATCGTGAACCAGTCCCGCTCCTGAGGCGTTGACATCTATAATCATGTTAGCTTGGGTCTTCAGTGCGTATCAAAGGATTGCCAACATACCTCCAGAAAGGAAGGTCATTCGGATTCCCTTCTGCTGTGCGATGCCCTGGAGCGTTCGAATAAAGTAAGTCCTCTCGAGATCCTTGGTGTCATGCGTCCACATATCCTTGAGCACCTCTTGGATATCAAGCTCACCAAACTGGTTCAGAACGTTGCCCATGAGACCAGTCTTGCCAACGGCCTTCTTAACCTGCGAGAAGCCCTGGGCAACAACCTCTTTGCCACCGACCACGCCAGCCACTGAGCTTGTCACCTTGCCCAGAATGTTGTACGTTGTGTTGACCGCCTTCTTACCCACGGCCATAGTGTTGGCAAGACTCTCCACTGTATCCAGGCGAGGATAGACAAGTGGCACAGAGACCATCCAGATACAGTGCTGTACACTAGGAGGCAGCGTGGCAACCTTGGGGAAGATGCCTTGATAGGTCGGGCCAGCCATGACCTGGGCCTGAGTACGCTCTGATCGACAATCAGGGCCAACAACCACCACAGCCGGTCCAAGGAACTTGACAAAGTGCCAACCCGTTCCGGTAACCGTGAAGATGTCGTGATCTGTGCTAACGTTTCGCAGCATCTCGACCGTGGTGTGGTGCTGGAAGAGTAGATACATTTCCGTTGCAATTCGGCCAATGTTCTTGAACATGGGCGACGACTGCATATAGTCAGGGTAGGAACCGTATCCATCGAAACTATCATGGTCAGTGAAATGTCTCCAAAGAGCTAAGTAATCAGCTTACATGTCATGATCATCGATCTGCAGGATGTGAGGGATCTGCGCAAACGCTTCCCGCAGGTATGGCTGGTCAAAGTGGCTGGTATAGTAATGGAAGTAGGCATGAGCAACGTCTTCCTCGTGGCGGGCTGTCCATTGGACATTCTTCTTGTTCTCGCGGCCACTCATGGCAAGCCATTGCTTGAGAAGAGGCACTTCTTTCCAAAGTCGATCACCGTAAATCTGGTCTCCCAAGCCCAGCTGAACGTGGAATCCACCGCATTCGACATTCTTCTGGAGGACATCCTTCCACATGAATCCGACGCCGCCAAGCTTGGCACGCTCATTCTGTGATGTGCCAGAGGCGAAATCATTGCCAGAGTGTGCGATGAAACGCCAGCTCGTTTCTTGACGTCCAGCGACAACAAACTCATAGCGGGTGCAGCCCAGATGGGACGTGACAGCGTATGTCCATCGTTCGGTACCAGTTTCAGACATGGGGAGCTCAACATCATATTTATAAAACTTCCACCTCTGGTGCGTGAAGATAGGACGAGGCTGAAGCTGTCTGGGATTTGGTGACAGATCCATACTCAAGTGGAGGTGGATTGTCGGGGGCTGAGGAGCATCCGTCACGACAAGAATGCTTCCAAGCCAGAGGCCCTTTTCGATATCCATGTTGACATATCGAAGGTATGGGCCAAAATAGACGCCATTGGTAGGCTGAATTCTATACATGTCAACGCCAGCGCTGGGTGGGGGGCCTGTGAATCCAGCAGCTGTGGGAGTAGCCGAAGCGGCCACGCTCATAATGCTCTCGGCATAGCCTGGAGTATGGGGTGGGAACATGGGCGAAGCCATATTCTGTTTGCCAAACATGCCAGGTGATCCTAGCGGGTTTCCATACGTGGAGGCCGTGGGAGACAGAGGGGCTTGCTCATGCGTCATGGGGTTTGGTCCCTTGGGGAATTCCCACTGCGTAGCTTGGGTTGCGAGATGGATGTAATAGTACTGGCCAGAGTTCTGGTCGAGGTGTGCTATCCATCCTTCAGGCAAGGGAGGAGGCGAAGCCGGATTTTGAGCCTCAAAAGGCTGAGCAGCAGCGGCTGCTTGCTGCGAGCTTTGTCCATTCTGCTCAGGGTGAGGGTCATTGGCAAATGCTGGGTGGCCAGGATGTTGGAGAGCGGGCGAGGCAAGGCCCGCAGCAGCAGTTGCGGTCGCCGCTGTCGCTGCGGCTGCTGCCACGGCCGCTGCCTTCTTGGGTGGTGTCGATGCGCTGGGGGCCGGCTGCTGGACAGGAGTTGAGGATGATGCATGCGCAGGATGTTGCTGTTGCTGTTGCTGTTGCTGCTGCTGTTGCTGCTGCTGCTGCTGCTGGGGTTGCGGCTGTTGTGCCTGCTGCTGTTGCTGTTGAGGGCGCTGTTTCTCGTTTGGATAGGAGGAGCCAGAGCCTGTGTTTAAGCTTGAGTATGCAGGAGGAGGCGAGTTTGTGCTCATGCGTTCGAAGTCCTGCTCCAACACACTAACTTGTTCTTGACCATGGGGTTCCTGAGATTTCTGAGGCTGCTGCTGGGGTTGCGGTGGCGGCATGTGTTGCTGCTGCTGTTGCAGCTGGGGAGGAGGGCTGAACGACACTTTAGTCGGGGGAGGACTTGAAATGGCATTCATGCCCTGGTAAACAGTCGGAGGTCCGGATGGCGCCTGGTCCGGCGACTCTGTCGGCGTCCACGGCCGTTGAGGCGGAGGATGATTTCCATATTGGGCAAGTCGCTGGGTGGCGGCAGCGCTGGGAGCGCCGAGGCTGTTGAGCGTCGCAGTGCCGGAAATACCGGCGGCGGCATACCGGGCCTCGATAGCATCGGCCGGTACATGGCCGGGCTCCTCGACCGGGGTTTCGGGGGGAGGAGGGGAACCCCGGCTGGCCCGGGTGGTTGAGGTCGAGGCGTTTGAAGCAAAGCGATTCACTCCGGAGCCATCCATCTTTATTTGCTCAACGGCAGTCTTCGCCGGGGGGTGGGGGGCCTCGGCGGCACCGGGTGGTGGGTAGTATGTCTTTTGGTAGCTGGGATAGTTGGCGTTGGATGAACCCGGACGTTGATGATCTGCTATGGGACGCTGAAAGAGATCCTGGTCGGCATCGGGGCTCGTAGGGGAAGAGATGGGCTTCGGAACAGCACCTCTTCGCTCGGCAAGGCCAGGCTTCTTTCCCTGGGGACTTGTCTCTAGACGAGGGCTGGTATCATTATAGGCTGAACCAAAGGGCTTTGCCGGAGTTGGTTTACGAATGTCGTCGTCGTCCGGGAAGGGCAGGGGGGCAGCAGAGCTCGAGGCACCTGGAGGGAGAGGGAAGGAGTGCTTAGAGATGGGAGACGTGGACGAAGGAGGCGCCGGGTATCTGAAGGTGGAGGAGGAGGACCTGCTGTCCTTGGCGGGCTGGGGGCTCTGGGGTTTGAAGATACGCAGTGGCTCGATGGTCGGGCTGTCGCAGTCGTCGGGAGCAGGCTTGTTGAGGAACATCTCCTCGTCCGGGACACCGCGACTTCGCTCCATCTTGGCCTAGATGAGCGCCGGGGCGGGCGACAGGATAATGTGAGGCGGTTTCTGGGTATGTGCCCAGGTATCGCGGGGTTGTTCGGTGAGGGGAGGGGACGACGAGACGCCGCACTAGGGCTGTATGAGGCGAGCGTTTCGCAGGGTCGAGTATCCAAGAATAAAAGATGACGAAGCGCTAGGGATCGTCGTTGGACGGAACTTGCTCGAGTGAGGGCGAATCCTTCAAATCGCAGAGTCGCGATGAGTCTTGGTGGTTGGGCGGGGTTGCGTTGCGTGAGGCCTGAAGGTACGTAGTAGGTAGGTGCGACAGGTGCCAAGTGACGTGGGCGGTCCCCGGTAAGCTCCAGCGGGTCGCAGAAACGGTCGCGCCAGGAACAAGAGCTTTATGTATTGGTTTCAGAAGCGCGATGAGTCTGACAGATGGATGAAGCAAGCAGACAAAAGGAGCAATGAAGGAGACAAAAATTACGTGGATGAGGAGGAAGGGGGACACGAGAGAGGAAGAGAGGGTCTGTCTGGTCAAGCGCCGTGCCCTGCTTTGGCCATACAAATATGATAAGTTAGACGGCCCCGGTAGGTACGGCGGGAGAGGTGGGGATGCTTGGGCGCGGGTGACGTTAGTAGCTGGGAGGGAGCTTGTCTTGCGTGCAGTGTAGGTAGTGGTGTGGCGAAGATGGAGGCCCAATACTTGAAAGTTGATAAAGAACGAGTGAGTACGCGAGGCAAGGATCAAGGCAAATAACTCGCTAACAGCTTTCTTGATGGAATTACTACGTAGCAGGACAGCTGAATCATACTCTTGCTACTCTTACAACCCAACATGTTCAACTGCATGACACGATACCAAGCGTTTAGCCGCCGGATGTGTTAGCCAAGGCTACACCAACTTGCGCAAAACTTATCAACAAAAAAGTTCTCATCCAGGGGCATAGAGGAACCCAGCTTCGATCATGCACAGCAATACTTCGTCACCACGGCAAAAGAATCCATCTCGAAATGGGGACCCAACTTCTGTTTCAGCGGGCACCATGAGGAATAACGACCTCTGATTGGACCCATCAAGCATTTGCCAATCCTGTAAGCGCCCGGCAGCTTGATCTAGAGCGGGCCAGAGAAACGGGGTCTCGGGAAGTGCCAGGGTTTGGGGGCCAGACGACGGTGAGTGTGGATCACTTGGGGTAGACCCGTGCATCATGAGAGGCTTCTGACCCATCATGGGCACCAGCATAGCCTCGATGCAAGCGCTGAGCTCCTCGAGCCAAGAACAGGAGGGAGCCAGTACCAGCGCTCGCATTTATCCACCTGGCAGCTCAAGACATCTGGCTTGAGAATGGAGAGAGGAGTCACAGTTTCTTTGAGATGGGAATGAGTCGATGTGTACATGTGTGTCTGTACGGATTTGTTCCTGGGCGCAACGGCTTCACATGCGTCCAATCACGACCTCAACGGACCTGATGAGCATAGGTACGAAGCTCCCACCAGACAATATGAGTGAAACGAGCAAAAACAACCAACGGCTCTTGAGGACTGTTGGTTCCATACATGTGAAGAGGGCATTCGGATAATTAGTTATGGCCGCATAATGGCCCTGACGTTCAGTTACAAGTGTCCGGGGTATGGACATCTCCCCTGTCCGACCCTTGTAGAAAACTTGGGGCATGCAACTGATAAAGAGGAGAAGACCCAAGAAGCTTTGATTTGCTATTTCGTAGATCATTTCAGCTTTCATCCGTCCCTCCTCGAAATATTTAGTAGGTTATGGGAGCTCTATTAGTGATGAAAGTTCACATTATAGAACCAACGTGTAATATCTGACTTGCAACAATATGTAGGAAAATCTAGAAATTCTACCTTGAGATGCAGACTCGTTCAGATCTCAACTAATCAGGATCCAATCCATCCCTTTCATTTCCACGTAAAAACAAAGCCCTTGTTCTCTTGGTCTCACAAAAGCAAGCAAGCAGCCATGGACTCAAGTTCCAGCGGACGGGACTAGAGAAAAGTGGGTCGCGTAACCACTCAACGCGTCTCGACCAGCCAGAAACGCGCTTCTCCAACGTCACCATCCGTTGCTCCAGGAGCAACTCCTGTGAACAGCCTCCCCATATCAAAGACACTCACAACGGCCACGGAACTTGGTCTCCAACATGGCTCCCACCCCGAAGCCAGCTGCAAAGAAGCAGCAGTCTCTCACTTCTTTCTTTACCCCCAAGACCGTCAATGGCCTAGCTGCCGTCTTCCAAAAGGAGAGCGAGGCACGAGCTAAAGCTCAATCCCCTTCAAGCAAGGATGCCGCCTCACCATCACGAAAACGACCGCTAGAAGACACGGAAAAGGAGAATGAACAACCCGAGAAGACCCTCAAGAAGTCTAGAGCAGATGAGGCTGAGGATGCAGAATCAAGTGCATTCTTCTCCAAAACAAAGGCCAATCAATCATCACCCTCCAGGGCACGCACGGAACGATATCGATACGACGATTCGAATCCACGGAATACTCAGGAGGCTCAAGAGAATGCCGAGGAAGATGAGGATGCGCAAGAGAAACGACGGCAGCATGAGCTACACAAAAAGTTTGTCAAGAAACTCGGGCACCCGGACGCCATGGCCTGGCGACGCCGTCTCCAGGATGACGCGCCAGCCGGTGATGATGAAGAGGCAGATGGCGAAGGAGACGATGATGATGCTGCGGCGCCAAAAACAAAAGCCAAGAAGAAGGGCTCCAAGACTGGGAAGCTGACTCCCATGGAGATACAGTTCCTCGACATCAAGAGGAAGCATCTGGACACAATCCTCATTGTTGAGGTCGGCTACAAGTTCCGGTTCTTTGGTGAAGACGCTCGCATCGCAGCCAAGGAGCTAAGTATAGTCTGCATACCTGGAAAGATGCGTTATGATGAGCGTAAGCTATCCTAAACGACCCCTTGTGTTCATGGATACTAACAATTACAGACCCGTCAGAGGCACATCTGGATCGTTTTGCTTCAGCAAGTATCCCAGTGCATCGTCTTCCCGTCCACGCAAAGCGCCTAGTCGCTGCAGGCCACAAGGTCGGAGTTGTCCGTCAGATCGAGACAGCCGCACTGAAGAAGGCTGGAGACAACCGCAATACCCCTTTCATCCGGAAGCTCACAAACCTCTACACCAAGGGCACATATATCGACGAGAATGGTGAGCTCGATCAGGGTAGTGGCTCTGGTGCTCCTTCGGGTGGCTACCTCCTCTGCATCACAGAGACCAAGGCCAAGGGATGGGGCACCGATGAGAAGGTTGATGTCGGCATTCTTGCTGTGCAACCAGCCACAGGAGACATCATCTACGACAACTTTGAAGATGGTTTCATGCGGAGCGAGATTGAAACTCGACTCTTGCACATCTCCCCTTGCGAGTTTCTCATCGTAGGCGACTTGACCAAGGGCACGGATAAGCTCGTGCAGCACTTGTCGGGCAGTAGTACCAATGTCTTTGGCGATCGAAGTCGAGTCGAGCGCGTTCCCAGGGGTAAGACCATGGCCGCTGAAGCATACTCGCACGTCACCCAGTTCTACGCCGATAAGCTGAAGGAAAACACCCAAGATGAAACTGCCGCCGCCCTTCTCGACAAGGTCCTAAAGCTGCCCGAACCCGTCACTATCTGCCTTTCAGCCATGATCAACCATCTTCAGGAGTATGGCCTAGAGCACATCTTTGACCTCACCAAGTACTTTCAGAGCTTCAGCACACGCTCTCACATGCTCATCAATGGCACCACCCTCGAAAGCCTCGAGGTGTATCGAAACTCAACAGACCACTCTGAGAAGGGCAGTCTATTCTGGGCACTGGACAAGACCATCACTCGCCCTGGTCACCGACTTCTTCGGAAGTGGGTAGGCCGGCCCTTGCTTGATCAGGAACTTCTCGAAGGACGTCTCGCCGCCGTGGAGGAGCTTCTTGAGAAGCAGTCTACTGCACCAGTTGCCCAACTAGAAGCTCTCTTAGCCAATGCGAAAACGGACCTCGAGCGAAGCCTCATCCGTATCTACTACGGCAAATGCACCCGCCCTGAACTCGTCTCCGTCCTCCAGGCCCTCCAAAAGGTCGCAAGTCACTACTCGACCGTCAAGTCTCCTTCCGACGCCCCTTTTACTTCTCCTCTCCTCAATGATGCTATTTGCGCTCTCCCTCAGATCCTAGACACCGTCATTTCCTACCTAGAGCAGATCAACCTCGGCGCTGCTCGCAAAGATGACAAGTATGGCTTCTTTCGCGACGAGTATCAGACTGAGGACATGCAAGACCACCAGCTAGGCATCGCCCACGTCGAGCACGAGCTTGACGGCCACCGTGCTGTCGCTGCTGAGAAGATCAAGAAGAAGACGGTCGAATATGTCACCGTCGCTGGCATCGAGTATCTCATCGAGGTCCCCAACACAGACATCAAGAATGTACCGGCGTCGTGGAGCAAGATCTCGGGCACCAAGAAGCTATCACGTTTCCATACCCCTGAGGTCCTCCGCCTCATCACCGAACGTGACCAGCATCGCGAAGCCCTGGCCGCTGCCTGTGACAAGGCCTTCAAGGATCTCCTCGCTGCCATTTCTGCAGACTACCAGCCTCTCCGTGATGCCGTCTCCGCCCTGGCAACCCTCGACTGTCTTCTCTCCCTCTCCAAGGTTGCCGCTCAGCCCGGCTACTCTCGCCCATCATTCCTCCCCTCCTCCTCTGACCCAACCATCTCCATCACCAACGGCCGCCATGCCATCGCCGAGCACACACTTGAAGGTGGCTACATCCCCTTTTCCACAAAACTCGCACACCCATCGCCTCTCGCCCATCTCATCACCGGACCTAACATGGGCGGCAAGTCCTCCTTTGTCCGAGCCCTTGCCCTCATCGTCCTTCTCGCACAAGTCGGCTCCTTTGTGCCTGCCGATGCCCTCTCCCTCACCCTCTGTGATGCCATTCACACCCGAACAGGTGCCCGCGACAATCTCTTCGCCGGCGAGTCCACCTTCATGGTTGAGGTCTCCGAGACGGCCCGTATTCTCCGCTCCGCCGGTCCCCGGAGCCTGGTCATCCTTGATGAGCTAGGTCGTGGTACCAGCACACACGATGGCGCTGCCATCGCCCAAGCCGTTCTCCAACATGTTGTCACAGAGACGCGCTGCCTGACGCTATTTATTACCCACTATCAGAATCTAGCACGGGTTGCAGAGGGCCTCGATGGCGTCAAAAACGTCCACATGAAGTTCAAAGCTGAGAAGGGAGCTGATGGTGAGGAGGAGGTCACCTTTTTATATGAGGTTGGTGAAGGTGTCGCCCACCGTTCCTATGGCTTGAACGTCGCAAGACTCGCGCGCATCCCGAAAAAGGTGATTGAGGTTGCCTCCCTCAAGTCGAGTCAAATGGAACAAGAAATGAGAATGCGGCGTCTAAAGGGTATCTGCCGCACCCTGTCCGATGTAATGGATAATGGACCAGATCAGCTCGATCATCTTGTGTCGAGCATTGAACAACTGTAATGTAATCAACGTAATCAATCGATCAATACTACTCTTGGAGCCTTTGAATCATTCTTCATTCGGTATTGAAATGCATCCCGATATGTCTGACTAGGTAGTTGCTCCCTCCCATGATATTCCACATACTTGCGCCTTGTTTCACCCCCATAGCTCCAATGTAAAATAATCCTCCAGTCCTCCCAAACTCCAAAGTACCCATAGTTATTTGCCTTGCCCATCATACTGCTGTTTAACCCATATCCCGATAAGATATCCCATAATGCACCAAACCTTTCGAGTGGAACGCCTTTTGTCTCGTCCCGAAGTTAAACGAAAGTCCCATTGTCATTGCCCGCAGATAGTAACTTCCAGGTTGGTGAACGCGAGAGGGGTGCGTGTCAAGATCGTAATTGTGTAAGAATTGGGTGCATTGGGGCCGTCGAATACGAACATATCGCAGTGTAAGAGCTCTAGTTGCTTTCCAAGATTAGCCACCAATGCGTTGGGAAAAGAACAGATAACTAACCTCCTTAATGACAGGTATGGCAATCAAGTTGTCCGGTGCCAAGTTTCACCACACGGTGAGGTTATGCTTCGAAGAAACTTGCTCCCTGCCTTGCCGGTTGGTCGGTTATATGCTAGTGCTTTCATGGCTCTCTCTGATCGATCATGTTCGACTTGGTCTGATCGCGGCCTGGGCGACTAGATTTGCGGCTCCTCTGAAGCCAAACCATCTGGAAAATCCAGGTCATGGTTGGAAGGGTGCAAATGCCAACCCCCATCGAGAACTGGGGTCTTCACGTCGCATAGATCGTTTCCGTCCATTACCTCGCAAAGATGTGTGGTTGGTTTGACGTCGCGAGCAGACTGTGAGCGCTCTCTAGGCCGATTGATTGGAGAGAACGATAGAGTGGAAAGCGATGCACTTGGAGATCCCTGAGTGTATGGGTTCAGGAATAAACGATCTTGAGAAAAAAGAGGATTTGCACCCGCAATGCTGGCAAAGGGGCTGTCGTTGGCCCCCTGGGCCGAATCTCCGGCCATGGATCCAGTGTAATCCTCTTGTTTCATATGAAACATGTTGTTTGATGAGAACCGAAAATGGTCTTGGCCAATCCCGTGGAACTGATTGTGAGCAGGAACAGTGAAAGGAAGTCGTGACGAGGTATTGTAGATGGTTGCATCTTTCATCGCATAGGTAGCTTCAATGTGGCCGAAGGAGCCTGAGAAAGGTCAGCCTGTATCCAAGAATAGGCGACATCCAAAACAAGGATGGAAGCTGGCCAAATAAAAGCATACCCGTTGGGAACGACTCTGGTCGAAGCGAACTGGTTCCATCCCTGGAGGTAAAGTGCCGTGGGAGGTCTCTCCCGAGAGGAGTCGGAGAGACCAGGTTGGAGGGAGTCGTGCTCATTGAACGCATTACATGTCGATCACGTAGATCAAACCTACTGAAAATATTAGAAGGAATTTTAGAAAACAAAATGCAGACTTACCTTCTATCGTTGAGAGTAGAGGAAAGGGGCTGGCCACCAAACGGCCCTATCTCGACAGTCAGAATCTCACAGGAATTGCTGTGTTCAAGACATACCTAGGTGCTCATCGTCATCACGAAAAACATCGTGGCCATGTCGAAAGTGGAATGGCGAGGTTGCTATACCAGAGTCGTCCTGGCCGTCAATCGTTGGCTTGACTTCAGCCCTCTTTCCCGTGTTAGACTTCAGACCGCGGGCAGTGTTTCGTCGCTGTTTGGGGACATTGGCCGAAACTTCAGCAAGAGGCGTGGCCTTCTTGCGCCTTGGCTTTGGAACTTTGCGTGGTGGAGTCTGCGAAGGTCAGTACCAGTACAAAAAGCCTGAGTGCATGGACATACCGATTCCTCTTGACCCGGGATAGGGGATGAGCTGTCGTCGTAAACATCCTTCACCCTTTCTACCTTGAAGTCAGGCGTCATGATGACTTGATTTGGCACAATGCCCTCAGAAGCCCTCTTCATCTTGTCGATGACAGACTTGGGCTTACGCTGGTTGCGAGTGCGTCTCATCTCATCATTGGCAAGATCCATCTTGCCCATTCCTGGCCACACCTGACCCTTCAAGGATAGCGAATCAGCCACGGTAGCAAACTCTTCTTGGCCTTCAGCATCCTGGTCGTGGTCGTAAAAACCAGGGAATAGCGGGAAATCGGCCGTCAGGGCTTCTTGCTCGATCTTGACCTCGGGGTCCATGGCGGTCTCTTGCTTCAGCTTTCGCTTAGTTTGCTGGCTGGTATTAGTATTAGATGCCACGGCGAAGAAGGAGTAACCACCTTTGCCGTAGGTGTAGGTACGGGTACATTCGCTCGGTTCCGTTTGTTGCGTGCGTCCTCCTTCGCTTGCTTTGCCTTCATTCTCTGAACCAGAAGTGCCTCGATGCCATTCTGGGAGTACTACTCCTCGTAACGTCGAAGGGCAACAGAAGCAGCGATGTCTTGATGAGCCTTGAGCTTCGTTTGTGTCTCATGGTGGAGGTGGCCTTTGGAGGCGATGTGCGTGAGCAAGTGGGACACGTCCGAGAATCGAGGAACATCCGGGCAGACGCTGCAGAGGAGTGGAATTTGACGATTGGTGGAATTGGTTGAACTATTTCCTGTTGGCATTGCGGGAGTCATGTCCTGGAATAACGCATGGTCAGTAATGGCCTTTCCTGTCGATCGAAGGCACGATTGTCTGGATGTGGCAGATGTCAAGCGAGGTGTCAAGATCATACAAAATTCGGATACGAAGCGTCCTTCTTCTTGGTCCAAAGAGAAAACGGGAAAGGGCTGGTAACTGGGGAAAACGAGTGTGCTGGGTAGAGGCCGAGACGTAGAATAGCAAAAAGAGCAAGTCTTGTGCAAGTGGAGATGGAGAATTGGGATGAAACTTGAGAAGGGACCAGAGTTGATAGAGATGGGAGGTCAATGGGAGTCTTTGGGGGATGTACTTACCGCGGTAGCCTTCTTCGCGGGCTTCCTTCCTCGAGCCATGATTGCGTCTGTTTGTGGGAGACCTCACTATGTCGGTAGTTGCGGTGGTTTGGGGGATGTAAGATCAGCTGCTTGGCGATGCTCATGGGATGGAACAAAGGGGGAGAGATGCCGAGCAAGTAGCAGTGAGAACCTGTCGAGGGAAGAAGGGAGCTCCTTGGAGACCAAGTGTGAAGGAAGTTACGATGCTACTGCAAAGTTGTTGTTCTTTCCGAATATCTTTGGCTACTGCGGGCGTCCGAGTACAGTCGAAGCTTGGCAGTTGCGTTGGCTTACACGGGAATCTAGGAGTTTCGGTGCTTGTCAAGATTCTCGAGAGCCAGGCTTGATCAGGGCAAACAAAGTAGCCCCGTCCTCATGACCAAGAGCGATCATGTAAGGGGATTGTTGGCCGCGAAAACAGTTGCAAGCTTCGATTAAACGTCCAGTTGCTTGTTGGTCTTGTCTGTACCTTGTCTTGACTAGGCTCGTCGACTGTCACGAGCACTCGAAGCCGTCAAGGTTTGGGCACTCCCCGCGCCAGCAAGTCTTCAAGGCCAGGATTCCAGGAAGACTGGCAATCGGAAATACGTGTTGCGAACCTAGACTGAGAACGAATACACGCTGTGAAATTGATCAGTTTGTTTCGATGATGGTGGTTGGGTGTTAGGCCGAAGTGTCCAGTCCGGCTCCCTTACACCGTGTGAACAAGGTGTTAGGGGAGCGACCTTGGCGGCATCCCGTGTAGGCATAAAAAGGAGTGCTTCTGAAAGGCACCATCAAGGAATCACTCACTTTTGATGGGAAAAGGCTTCCAGGGACATGGACTCGATGGGTGGCCGGGATCGTAGACTCCTCGTTATCGGAAAGCGTGCCAGCGACAGCAGCGATATCGGCCGGTTGAGGCTGTATCGAGGGACGGCAGCTTCCCCACGGGGTGAACAGAGCGAGGAAAGCGCTTAGGAACAGGGCTGTGCGGCCCTGCCGATGACGATACTGTCAATGGCAGGTGAACAGTCCGCGATGGGAAAAGATGGAAGGAGAAGGACCAGAAGTCTGGAGGAAATGGAGCGGATGTGAGAGAGAAGAAGGAGGGGTCGCCAGATTTTGGGTCGAGGAGGAAGGAGCGCGTCCATGAGCGAGTGTGCTCCGGCAAGTGCCCGACGGCACCCTAAGCCTTAGGATGGGAAGCCTCTGCCACTCATCCCGTGGTTCCGAGCGACGCAAGAGACGAGGGGCTAGCTCTGGGGAAAACAGAGGTGCGATGAAAGAAAGTATGCAATGTACTTGAATCTTTCTCGTGTCTTATAGTTGACTGTTCTCGACCTTGATGAGGGTGATGAGATGAGGAGTTCGATCGACTCGGTGATATTAACGGCGGCGACACCCCGCCTCAACACTTTCCGTACTTTATGAATGCCGGAGTTTTGAGAACAGTTGTTTAAGTCCCCTTGGCGAATGATTGGATAAAAGAGAAAGGAAGCAGAACAATCTCGAGTATGCGGCAATCAACTAGACGACAGCTTGGCGGGGAAGAGCACGAGGTTGAAAAGATGCATCGTGTCGAGGCCAGGGAGAGACAAGAACTTCGCAAGAAGGGCGGGAAGAGATCATACAAGTGACAGTTGAACACAATAGGTTGATTGCTGTAATTAGGAACTATCTTAGGTCGATGATGCAACTTGCTCTTTCAAGAGGTCAGAGGGTCAGCCAACCCTTGACTTGTGTGGGGAGAAATTCCAGTTTGGCAGGAATTCACGGATCCATGAATGTCTGCAGGTTATTACAGGACGAACACCACGGAGTAAAGGCGATGTCCCTGAAAAGCCAACAGTTTCTTCTTCTCTCAGCCATACGTCCATGCTATCACGGGAAGTGTCTTTAGCAGGCAATTAAATGGCAAGAGGATACCCGGTAGTGTCGGGTTTGCGTCGGGGAGATGTGATGCAGCTCAGACTTGACGAGACTCAAGAGTTGCAGTCAATCAACCAAAGATTCTTTGCGTGGTCGTCTTAGGCATGCAGTACACGGGGTCCACGGCCTCGAGGCCCGGATAGCCCAGGAGACTCAAACCGCACAAGCCGAACTGAGTATGCCACACGTCGACCATGTCGCCAGGTCGATCGGAAATTCCGCCAATCTGGGTATCTTGACATTGCAGGATGAAGGCGATGAGGGCGTCACGGTCGATCCAGTGAGTCCGATCGATCATCGCGAGACTGCTCAACACCCACCAGCTGTAGCAGACGTCTTCTTTCTTCTCTGGTCGGCCGTTAAGACCACCACAAGGGACTTGTCTCTCACTCAACCATCGACCGAGCTTTTCCTTGTCGACAAGGTCGAGACGACCCGCAATCGCAAGTGCAGCTACACAAGTGAAGATCTGGCCCGAATGCGACTCCGCACCGGGTCCCGTTCCATAACCACCATCGAAGTTGGCACAAGCGATGATGTGAGTGACAGCCCTCTCGACGTCGACCATGGACATGAGTCCGAGGAGGGAGAGGGCGTTAAAGGCACCGTACAGGAACCGCGTGTCCTCCTCGCCCCATTCATCACCAGCAAACGTTCCTGTCTCTCGGTTTTGCAGTTCTGCGATGTCTGCTCCTAGTCAGTAGGTGCATGGAAGCACTGTTGACGTTTAGTAGCACCTACACTTGCCGACTTGACTCTTTCCTTTGCCTTTGGCTTCTAGCTGGTCGAAGGCATCTGTCATGGCGAGAATCTGCACAGCACTTACTGTGGAGAGCATGTGGGCATCATGACCGGGCGCAGCGCCGAATCCGCCGTTTTCATGCTGACAAGATAGAACAAAGTCAATGACCTCTTGACGTGGAAGGGCGTCGGGGCGGCCAAGCAAGTAGAGAGCATTCAACCCCCAATAGAGACCGTTGAGTCGCAAGTGCTCGGTCAGCCAGTAATCCAGCTCATCCTTCCTGGTGTCCAAGCTTTGGATGTATTTCACATGAGCGTCAACGGCGAGCTTGGGGCCGTCGTATTCCGGTGCGACCTGAGCCATGTTGTTGAAGGATGAGAGAGCTTGATGAGAGATGTCGGGGTTGAGATGTCGAGGAGAATTTTGTATGGCGGGTCATTACGTAATCGCGTTGCCTGGCCAGAAACTGGATGCACTTCAAGTTGCTGATACTCACCACGAGCTTCGTTCACTAACTAATTTTTGTGGCATCAAGTTCTGTTTATTCAGTTTCATATATGGATCGAAAATGCTATTTAGCAGTAGTTTAAAAGAAACTTGCATCCGTAGAGTTGGATTTGCAATTTCATGAGCTTTGAATGTTGAGCTGGGTGCAAATGTTAAGGTTTGTGGTGATTCTCATGGTGATTCTTAACTAGTTCGAAGAGAGCAAAAAGGCACGGAAGAAATAAGACAAGCTACCAATCTTGCGGTGATTTGTTTGAACAAAGAAATACATTCTTTTTGGCAAGTTTGCTCAGTTGATAGACCTGAAGTGGTTGGCTCAATGCATTGAAGCTTGAAGCTCCAGTTGTGAGCTCCACATAGAGGTCTCCTCAATATTAGACCTCCAGGTAGGTCTTCCTTTTGACACCTTCAACCACATCCACCCTAGAGGCTCAACGACCCAAGCAGAGCCACAACCCCTGCAAAGCAAGAATGCATCTAGAAACATTCACCACCAACGATGGCTGCAAGATAGCTTACCAATCCTCCCTGCCGTTGAGTGCTGCTGCGGGGAATGCCTCATCTCGTCATTGTGTGGTGCTGATGCATGGCTTCAGCGGCTCCAGCGACTACTTCAACCGCAACATTGGTCCTCTAAGCGAGTCTCTCTGGGTTGTTGCCCCTGACATGCGCGGCCACGGCAGATCAGACCGAACTCGGGGTGGTTACCATGTTGCTCGCCTGGCAGCCGACCTTGCCGGCCTTGTCGCTCACTTGCGCAAGGCGGTACCGGATACGCGTATCGTGCCAGTTGGCTGCTCAATCGGTGCTGCAGTTCTCTGGACGTACATTGAGCTATTTGGGTGCACTGAGTTTGCTGGCTTTGTCTTTGTCGACCAGGCACCATTGCAAGACCGGTCGACGTTTGACGACTGGGACAAGTCCAAGGCGCACACGGGATGCTACGATGAAGCAACAATGCTCGTAGCCCAGAAAAGCTGGATCGAGGAATCCAAGTCAGCACACATTGATCTCGTGAAAGGATGTTTGGGGTACCGGCATGCACCGCAGCATGAGGATGGTGTTTCGGCCGAACAAGCAGCGAGCGATGAGGCCTTCTTCACGGAGATTAGTGCCCTGTGCGATCAAACGTGGCTCGCGCGGCTACTAGCAGATCACACCCGATATGATCACCGTGAAGCTATAGAGACGATCACAGTTCCAACGTTGGTGATGGCTGGGCGCCGATCCGGATGCTTCCCGCTCGAGGGGATGCTGGAGACTGCCAAGCGGGTAGAGAAGACGAGGCCAGGGCTGGCCAAGTCGAGCGTGTTTGAATCCGGCCACTGGCTCTTTTACGAGGAACCTGATAGGTTCAACAAGGAGATTGACGACTTTGTCAGATCGTGCTAGGCCATCAGCTGGGTTGCGTTCGGGGATCGTCAACGTCGGATACTACAACGGGTGCTCCCTTGACCGGGAGTATACCTCAAACAACCTTTTCTCTCCCAGCCAGCGACAGTGTACATTGTATTCGCCGAAAGTGTGAAACGTGACGGAGCTGGAATGCTTTGCGTACCTTGATGAAGGTGGAACTTGAGACTTTCTCTTTGGCGATGCAGGCATTTGAGTTTGCTCAACTACGGAGGCAGTGTACAAGGACAGAGCAAAGAGCAAACAAACGAAACGACATTCTCTATCAGTATCCGTAACCGCTAGTTACTCGAGTGGTAGTCGTGGTAGTCGACTTGTGGGCCAGCAGCCTCATCTCTATACCATGCAGATGAGATCTATTTCGGTCCACCACTTACAGACCAGCAGTGAAACATGGCCAAGGTTGGTCAAGGAATGAGATGACTGGCAATAGACGAGACGAAATCCAATGCACCACGTTTCATGTAGGTTCCTCCATTGGCAGGGAAACCCTTACTCAGGCAGGCTGTCAAGCTTGGCTGTGTGATCCAAATTCGGATCCATCCGGGGTACATCGAGTAGAGTAACGACGACGACTACGACGACGATCGAGCTTCCTAAATTATGCGAGATAACCACGCGACATCAGCCAGGACGCGCAATGAGGAAAGAGGCTCAGCACGAGATTCCTTGCTTAGGCGTAATTATACGGATACACACGTACGCGGTCCAGGACTGGGAAATGATCGTACGAAGAAGAGGGCTTGCAAGCTCACGGCGGCCCACAGCGGACGTCCGCTTGATACAGAATCCCCCCCAACTTCCTCCTATCGGCGGCGTTGAAGGCATCCGACTTTTGCGGGTGCCTCTCTGTACCATGCTGCATCTGTATAAACAAACAACCTGACGTAGCTGAGCATAGGCGGCGCAGGGTGGCACTTCTGCGGGCGGCTAGACGGCATGCCGAAGACGGGGAGCGACGGGAGGTCAAAGAGGATCAAGCGCCGCCACCGAGAAGCCCGAGTTGTTGCGCCTCCTCCTCCAAGTCCAAGGAAAGGAAGCACAGCACAATAGGCGCCGCCCTCGAGAATAGACTCCATCTAGAGGCAGGGGGAGCTCCGTTCTCACAAATTGCCTTTCAGGCACTGAGCGGGAGGGACCACGGCAGTCAAAGAGAGCTCTGACCATGTTCCATTTCCCAAGAGCCCATTCAGAAGCCCGTTCAGCAATCCACTAGCAGCGCCACTTCTGCCACTCATTCAGGCACTGGGCCGTGACCCCGGGACGCTGGTATGTGGGTGTAAGAATAAGCAGAGGGAGGGGCAGTTGTCGACGGGGCTGGGGTTACGTCGAGAGAAGGGAGAAGACGGGAGAAGGTGATATGTCTGCATGGTAATGTTTAAAAACACTATGATTTATAGACATTATGAGCATACTATAAGCATCGTGGGCTAGTTATCCAGAGTAGAGTGAATTAGTGGCTGCCCAGGTATTCTTTCAACGCCTTGGCGGGAACCAGTCGCTGGGCTACGATGCCAGGGGAATGCCAGGAGAGGCAGTTGATTAGGCTTAGCACCAGGCTGTTGGCAGGGGGTGAGTAGATCGTCAGGTTCCTCTGAGACACGCGAGTGTGGGAAAATCAACACATGCAATGCCGGTCATGAAGACGGCGGACGGTACGATACGATGAGATGGCGATCGCAGTGAGAAACAGGACTGCATGTTACACAGCATCTCAACAGTGATCATAGACCACAGGCATCTCGTGTGATACAATATAAAGTTGGCCTCCTATTTGAGGATGCAACCTTTGAAAGTCGACTGAACCCTTCACCCACCTGGGCGGGAAAGCCAGGATCTAGACTCACGGGCCTGGTACCTGGTCCGGTCCATGAGGCAAGCGGCACACGAGACACCGGGCGGCTCTCTGACTGACAGACAGGACTCTCTTGTGATGAGTGGCAGCTCGTGGCTTCAGTGCCATCCAGAGATCCATCTGAACCCCTGGGCTCGACGCCCAATTGCCACATGTTGGGTGCAGCAGGGAAGGCCTCAGAGCTTGCTGTTGCTTCTCGTGTGTTGTTTGTTATTTGATGCTAGTTTCTCAAGCTACTGCGCAGCATGTATCGTCTTTTTTTGCCTCCTCTTGCCGGGGGCGGGCTGTTCCAGGTTGCCGAGTTGTGCTTGGTCGAGTCGGGTGTTTTTCTGATGGTGTCTGGGTTTTAGTGTGCGACAGGCCGTTTCAAAAGCTGCCAGCTCACACCCACCAGCACCAGCACCATTCACACCGCAACCAAGCAATAGAGGCCGCGCAACGCTCAGTCGGTCCAAATAGCCCGAGCCGGATGGAGGAGCTAATAACGGTTGCGAGTGATGAAGAGACTGTAGGTATTGATAGAGATGTGATACGTATGATACGATACGACTCTGGATTGCTGATGCTCCTCCCCGTCCTCGGTGCCCGTTAATGCCCCGGCCGACTCCCCTTCCCAAGTCTAGCCTTACTGCAGAATCAACCCCTTGGCATGGTCTCCATCTCTATCCATCCTCTCCTCCTTGTCCCTTGTTCCTGGTCTCTTTTCCGTGCCCGCATCCATTCATCCCACATCCAGTCCCTTGCTTCTTTTGGCCCCCCTCCAAGCCCTTGCTTGCTTCCTTGCTTGGCCTTTGTCACGCCTGCTTCCATGCTGACAATGCCCTGTTGATACCTGACATTGGCTTGATACACGCTCGTACTCTGTGCCGTATTGCCTCTTTTTTTTCTTCTCCCCTCTATTGTTACCAGGGAGCGGTCAGCAGCACGGACTGTTACCCAGCTGATTGGGACGCTCTCGCTCTCGGGGCCACCGACAGTTTGTGAGCAAGCCAGCCTGCGTGCGTAGGTGCGCTTCGCCTTGAGGCTGGGGGCTCGGGCATTTTGACACTGGCATTGGCATTGGTATTGGCGCGCGGGCACTGGCACTGGCACTGGCACTGACAGACCCTGCCACGATCCAATCTCTCACAAAAGCAGCAGAGTTCATCGAGTAATTCGAAAGCTAAAGCTCAGCAACGCCCAACCCGGCGCAACGCAACGCAGCAGGGACCAAGACAAAGACCAAGGGACTCGCTCGGGCTCCGACACGGACACGGCCTCTAATTACCCTTCAAACCTTCGAGAGACTATCCCGGCTTCGTTTCTTCTCGTCTTGCACTGCTCACCCGCTCACTCGATTCGAATCTGCCCCATGCTCTCCGCTTGCCCCTGACGGACCCCAACACCACCACCAGAACCACCACCACCACCAAGACAAGAGGACGCGGCCACCACCTTCACCACTGCCACCAATCGACAAATCTTCCACGTCCGTTGCGCTCTGCCCTGTCCGCCTGCCGTTCTAGTCGAGTCGCCTCCAGACGGTTTTCCGCACCTCTCCCACCGACCCGCGACCCGCAGATCGAGACCACCAGAAACAGACCCCCAAACCCCAATCGGTAGCCGCCCTGGCCCGCCCTTGACCCTCCAGCTCCGTTCTGCCCACACTGCCTCCCCTCGTGTGGCAGAGGCCCAGCCCAAAGCTCGCTCGCTCGCGAAGCAGGCCCGCGACTGCGACTGGAGGCTGCGCTGCGCCGCCAGCAGGCAGGGCTCCAAAATGGGTCGCAAGGCGGCACCGCAGCCGCTGGCGCTTCCGTCTCAGTCGTCGTCTCCGTCTCAGTCTCAATCTGACGCCGGTGCCTCACGCAACAACAAGGGCGACCCGCCAGCTGCTGAAACGACTTCCCCAGGCGTGTCTCCGGCCGAGTCCAGATCGCCCCGGTCCCCCCGCTCCTCTCCTTTCCACAGTCGATTCTCGCCCTTGAGGAACCAAGGCGTCAAGAACCGGAAAGTGTCACAATCAACTGCAGCTCTGGCGGCTGTGACGGCAACCGGTACTTCATCGTCATCGTCAGCAGCGGCAACAGCAACAGCCACAGCACAGCCCTCGCCAACCACAGCAGCTGTCGCTGTCGCTATCGAGAGGAGCAGAGACGAGTCCTCTTCCCAGAAGCAGAAACAATCCTTCAGGCACACACGCGAGGATCCTCCTTCGACATATCCCTCCATATCATCTACCTTGAACGAGCAACCTCCCCCTCCTCCACTCTCCAATCCCCAGACCAGCTCGCGACCCGACCCGCCGCAGCGGCCCATGACAAGCGACCCAAAGAAGGGATCCAAGAACGGCTTCTTTCATTTCAACAAGCAGTCCAAGGCCACCAACCAATATCAGCCGCATGCCCACCACCACAATAATAACAACAACAACAACAGCAACCGCAACCCCACAGAGACGAGAGCACAGATTATGTCGAGGGGCAGCGACGGATCTAGCCGACCGAGACACGCTGGAGGTATGTAAATCTGGATCTAACTTTCGTGAGAGGGGTGTGGTCCAATATACTTTAGCCCACCCGCGCAAGCCCGGTTCACAGCCAGCCGCTGACACCATGCTTTTGAACAGATCCATCCTACTCCGACCACTCCCTACACAAGCCCGTCTCTGCCGATCCTTTGCGAAGCGACCTGTCTTTGTCATCCGCCGGCGACCTCGACACTGCATCACCGCAGTCATCAATAAAGAAGGCCAAGAACAAGCCCTTTGGCCTCTTGAACCGCAGTAGATCCAATCGCGACAAGGAAGACGCCAGCCCCGAGCTGAATCCCGTTCCATCGCCTCGACAAGGCAACGAGCCCGAGCTGTACCTCAACTCTGTTCCACTAAAGACTGCTCCTCTGGGGCCCGACCGATCGTTTAGAGACATGATGAGCTCCGCCGTCCGGAACCGATCCGAAGATCGCGCGCCGAGAGATTCGTCTTCGACGAGGAGAGGGCACCGTGAAAAGGAATCAAAGACCCAGCCCTCTTCCTTGAATGAGAATGGAGGTTCAAACTTCCTCAATGGGCTGAAGAGCTCCGGTACACGTGCAGCCGGTATGCTGAGTGACCGTTTGTTTGGCGGAAAAGGTGGGCGTGGGAGGGACTCGGACCGAGATGCAGTGGATGACGAAAACTACCAACTCAAAGTTATCAACCTGCCGTTGGTCGAGCAGACTCGGTTGACTAGGATCTCTAAGCGGCTCGAGGACTCCAGGGATAAGACGGAATTCTGGATGCCGGCCTTCCCCTGGAGAGCAATCGACTACTTGAACTACAAGGGATGCGAGGTGGAAGGTTTGTACCGTGTCCCGGGAAGCGGGCCGCAGATCAAGAAGTGGCAGCGAAAGTTTGATGAGCGTGAGTATTATCTATCAGTGTTGCAAGGCCTTATCTGACGCAAAACAGGGTATGACGTTAACCTCTTTGACGAGCGAGACTTGTACGACATCAATATCATCGGCTCGATGCTAAAGGCCTGGCTTAGAGAACTGCCCGACGAGCTGTTCCCCAAGGCAGCCCAAGACCGGATAGCAAGGGAGTGTGCTGGGTCGGAAGAGGTGCCTGAACTGCTGATCGAAGAACTCTCGAATCTCTCGCCCTTCAACTACTACCTACTCTTCGCCATCACGTGCCACCTCAGTCTTCTCCTGGCTCACTCGGACAAGAACAAGATGGATTTTAGGAATCTGTGCATCTGCTTTCAACCATGCATGAAGATCGACGCCTTCTGCTTCAAGTTCCTGGTGTGCGACTGGCGCAACTGCTGGCGAGGATGCAAGAACGAGGCCAAATACATCGAAGAAGAGTACACACTCTTTGACCAGCCTCCCCCACGAGGCTTGGCCGAGCCGCAAAAGCCCAAGCCTCAAGAGCCAGAGATCGAACGCCAACAACTATCGTCTTCGGACAGCAGCAAACAGTCAGGACGCATCAGTCCCGGAGATCAGAAGCCAAGGCTGAAAAAGAAGCAGCTCCAAATATCGCCATCCAACGGAAGCGTCGTCTCGAACAATTCGATCATCTCGAATACGTCGATCGTCTCGACTACTCTGACCCTGGATAGCGACCGCGACCGCGACCGTGAGGTGGGCAGGGGCCCAGGGGAGAGCAGGGAGATGCGGCCATTGTCGCCTATCATGCCCCTGTCACCCCTCGGCTTCTAAAAGACATCCTTTGACTCGCTGAACGCGATGGGATGGAGCCTGCTATCACCTTTTTCTCACGCCGATACCCACGATAGAGCCCGTGATTATCTATGCGCGTTCAGCACCAGCCGATTTACGATGCCATGCCGTTTACGACTTTTTCTGCCTTTCGACTCTTGTACTCCGGTTGATCGCTCCGGACGCTGGCGTTTCCGCAGAGTGACTTGGTGGTGACGGCGAGGAGAGATCAAGCAAGGTTTTCGACAAGTCTTGGGAGGATCTCTCCTTGCTGTACCGGAGCGAGTAAAGTCTTGTTTCTATTTATTCTTTTTTCTATTGTTTGTTTGGTATACCCCATGAATGCATTTGAGGGAGGATATCGTCAGGGGGTTGTTTTTTCTGCCCTTCATCTCGCGGGGAATCTTGGGTTTGGAATCCTAGCGTTTTTGCAATCGTGGATTTGCTTCTCGAACATGCTATCTTGTTGCTTAATCTGGGTTTCTAGGGTTGAAGACGCAACCGATCTCGCGTTTGAAAAGAAGCTGAAGAGAAGAGGATATGAGACTGGAGAGCAGATGGCCAAATTTGGCAGTCTGTTGTTTTCCCTTGGTCTCTAGACATCATCCCATTTTGAGAATCCAGGAAGATGGTCATGTACGAAAGCGAGAGTCATGTAAAGCAAAGGGGTGATGATATAATGTTGGGAGTTTCGAGAAATTGGGAAAGAAAGATAGCACATAAATGAAAGGGCGCAAGTGGATTCTTGTTTATTCCACCCAAACAAGTCGATTGTCTTGAACCTCCCACCCAGACTGTGTGTGTAACTAGCTTTTTGATGCCGATTCGTAACGCCAATCCTGAACGCCGTCTATGCTCAACAGCAGCAATTGCAGAACCATATATCAGCTCCATCACCCTCAACTTGATATGCCACCCCTCTAGGCTCTCTTCTTCTTGCCGCCGGACTTGCTGACGGCATCCCTCTCGTTCTTGCGCATCATGCGCTCGTTTCGCTTGACCTTCTCCTTGCGCTCTCTTCGGCCGTCGCCCCTCACGCTGGTGCCCTCCTTCCTGTTCATCTCCTTCTCGGGGTTGACCTCGACCAGCCAGTCGTCCTCGCCCTTCTTGTTCAGGCCCTTGTAACCCCACTTGCGCTTCCACTCGCCAGACTCCTCGTCGTAGGCCAGGTTGCGTCGCTGCTCGCGCGTCTTGGGCTTGATTCCCTTCTTGGCGGCGAAGCGCTCCCACTTTGTCGGGGGCTTGGCCTCTGGGACGGGCTTCTCGCGCGGGAGACGGGTGCTCGGGGCGGGGAGGGAGAGGAGCACGCCCTCTGTGGTGGAGCTGAGGGGGCACGTCGTCAGGAGCTGGTTGATGAGGGACTGGGCGCCGTCGCGGGCGAGCTCGGCGAGGGACTGCTCGAGGTCGGTCTTGTCGAGGTCCACGGGGTTGGGGTCCTCGGCGAGGAGGTGGCCCAGGTCGAAGGTGTAGGGAGTGGGCTTTTCGACTGCGACGGGCAGCTTTGGCCTGGAGCTGGGAAGCGCCATTGTGAATTGTGATTTATGAGTGGCGACTCGTGTGGAGGGATACGTTGGATGTTGAGAAATGTGATCGGGAGAATGTCTTGTCGCAAACCCAGCCTCTCGTCGTTGCTGGCTCTGGGTAACTTTTTTTTCTACCTCTACCGACTGATAAGATAAATTGACGTCGGAGCGATGGACAAGGGTTTTTCCGACACAGCGGCTGGCTGACCAATCAGAACAAGTACAGACCAACTACCCCTGTCCAGCTCCGGGGGTGTGTGGTTAATCCTCGAGATTTTCCCATTGAGACCTCACAGCTCGAGACGAACCCCGCGAGAAGAGCGTCCAAGAACCGGCCCAATTGGCGCCAATGCCACGATAAAACGCCTTGCCTGCCTGCCATCCCATATACCCCCGAGGCTCCTCCAACATCATGGCGTCCGCACACTCACTCCGGTGCCTCGTGAGGCCGGCGGCCATTCCCCGGGCTCCTCGCATTCAGCCCATCCTCGCCGCCCCATTCTCGACCACCGCCGCAGTCCAGGCCGCCGCCGCGCCTCCGCCCATCAAGAGCCGTCGGGACCTCCCGCAAAAGGTCAAGAAGGCTTACAAGAAAAAGGCCAACATCGTCCCCGTCCGGAAACCCAACCCTGGCGAGCGCAAGGCCTTCCGGAAGCGCATCCAGCTCAGCAACAACAGCGCCCTGCCCGTCGAAGGCCTCAACTCGCTGGACCAGAAGAACATGACCCTCGAAGAGAGTGCTGGAAAGGTCTTTGCTATTCCTGACAATGTGGTGGATCACCTCCGTGCCCTCGAGGCCTTCAAGACGACACAGAGCTGGAACCTGTTCCGGAGGCCGCATGTGCTACTACGCAAGGAGACGGTTGAGTTGATGAAGAGGCTCGAGGCCTCGGCTGAGAAGAAGGAGGCTCTCAAGTGTGTCTTGACCGGAAGCAAGCTCTCTGGAAAGAGCATGACTATGCTGCAGGCCATGGCCTATGCACTTCTCAACAACTGGGTTGTGTTGCACATTCCCGAGGGTAAGAGGGCAATTACTTTAAACATGATTGAAACATGATGTTAACTGCTCAAAAGGCCAAGATCTGACAAACGGCAACACTGAGTACTCACCCATCCCCGACACAGAGCCCATGCAGTTCGCCCAGCCCGTCTACTGCCTCAAGATGATCCAGAGCATCTACCGGGCCAACCGCGCAGCTCTCGAGAAGCTGCAGCTTGAAAAGGACTGGTCCAAGTTCACCAACCTCAAGCAGGGCGCCACCCTCGCCGACCTCGCCCTAAGCGCCAAGGAGGCCGAGTACGCCTGGCCTACCCTCCTCGCTCTCTGGACTGAGCTCACCCTGCCCGGTCGTCCCCCCGTGCTCTTTGCCCTCGATGGCCTCTCCCACATCAACAAGATCAGCGAATACCGGGACCCTTCCTTTAACCAGGTCCACTCCCACGAGCTTGCTCTTGTGCGTCTCTTTGTCGATGCCCTCTCAGGCAAGGCTCCCCTGCCCAACGGCGGAGCCGTCATCGGCGTCACATCAGCGAACAACGCCCACCGCCACCCCTCTCAGGAGCTCGTCCTCTCCCAGCTCGAGGCTGGCCAAGCCGGCCGTGAGGTTCCCAAGCCCAACCCCTACGAGCGCAAGTACGATGAGCGTGTGTATGATGCTCTCAGGCACAGCTGGGTGCTCCGGCTCGAGGGCATCACCAAGGACGAGGCCCGGTCCCTGATGGAGTACTGGGGTGCCAGCGGACTCTTCCGCAACGTGCTCAACTCGAGGACCGTCTCGGAGAAGTGGACCGTGGGAGGCCACGGCATCGTGGGCGAGATGGAGCGGGCAGCCTTGATGCAGATGAAACTGTAAATGTATTCTAGAAATGTACAATATCGGTGTCTGAGTAGAAACCTCAAAAACATGTATCAGCTCCAACAACCTCCCAAGTGATTTGCTGGCCAACGTTGTGCTCTCAAACGTCAACTCTAGAAATGGTGCTCCATGTGCTTCATCAATAGTTTTTCATTGTCGACAAAGATCTACCAGCAGACTATCCTTATCTACCTAATATGCCAGAACGCCAGGCCCTTACGTCAGATGCCTCTTCCTATTACACTACACGTCATGCCCTTCTTAAAAGTCCATATCATCATCCCGAACACCACCGTCACCAATGACAAACACCAGTCTCGTGCCATTGCCAATAGTTTGCCAAACCTGTCAAGTAATGTTAGTCTTAACCCTAATGGTCTGGGCAGTGGTAAACTTACATCACCACCAGTATACGCCTCCAGGGTGTTGAGCCACTGATCTTCAGTGAAGCCCTGGGCGATAACTCGTTCCCTGACTTTTCTCATGCTCAGCTCAACGCCGAGATCGTCATCGTCAGCATCATCAGGACGGCAGGTACCATCATCCGCCCATTGTTTGACCAGTCTGAAAATCCTGTCGGTGGCGCTATGAGGCCTCCGGTTAGAGCCCAGATCACTATTCAGACTCTCCTTGCTGGCCTCAACAAGTCGCAACGCCTCATCGACATCATCCTGAGTGGCCTCGTTGCTGAAACGGAGTCGCGCCAGGGCCTGGGCCAAACGCACAACACCGAGCAGAGTACGGGGAGTTGTGTGAGTGAACTGCTTGCCCTTCTTCTCAGCACGCTGCTGCTGGTCTCGCATGCGGACATATGTCTTGATCATGTACTCCGACACTGACTCAGGGACGACGGGTCGGTAGGTTCGAGCCTGAGCAATGTATGATCGCACCTCGTGAGGGCTGAAAACCACATTGTCGGTACCAATATCAGGGTGTCGGCTGTTCATGTGCACAAAGGCAACGTGCTTGGCGAGCTGCTCATCCGTCTCACGTGTAGGGGTATCAAGAAGCAAGAAAAGGATATCGAATCGAGACAAGAGCGCGGCGGGGAGGTTGATGTTCTCGACAGGCGAGATGCGAGGGTTGTATCGTCCGTAGACAGGGTTAGCGGCGGCGAGGATCGAGGTACGGGCGTTGAGGGTAGTGGAAATTCCAGCCTTGGAGATAGAGATGGTCTGCTGTTCCATGACTTCGTGAATGGCAGTACGGTCGGTCTCGTCCATCTTGTCGAATTCATCGATACAGCAGATACCGTTGTCAGCAAGGACGAGAGCACCGCCTTCGAGGACCATCTCGTCAGTGACGGGGTCTCGCATCACGGCGGCCGTCAAACCGACACCGCTGCTTCCACGTCCCGACGTGTAGACACCTCGAGGAGCAACCTTTGAGATGTACTTGAGAAGCTGGGACTTGGCCACACCAGGGTCACCCATCAAGCAGATGTTGATGTCGCCACGGATCTTCATGCCGTCTCCCATCTCTTTTGTCACACCTCCGATCAAGAGCAGGAGAAGAGCCTTCTTGACATCGAGGTGACCGTAAATCTCCGGAGCAATCGACTTGGCGAGAAGCTCATACACCTGGCCGGTCTGGCGGTACTTTTCAATTCTTCGGACCAACGTAGGATCGACAATCATCTCGCTGTAAGCCTTCTTGTGCTGAAGAATGTGGTGGGCCTCGATGTATGTGTCGGTGAGGAGCCCAGCCTTCATGGCCTTGAACCCAGTATAAGGGGTAGGCAAGAAAATGCCCGAGATATCGACAACATCACCAGGGCTGATTTGTCGGACAAGTGTGCCGTAGCAAAAGACGGTAAGACTTCGAGGAATCTGACCGATGGGAACTTGCTCTGCCATCTCCTGAACCTTGACCTCCTGGAAGGGGAGGAACTTTGAGGCCCTCGAGGAAGGGTTGAGCTGACCCTTGGATTGGTTCTGCTTGCAGTCTTCCGAGGGACACATAGTAAGAGGACCATACTGCTTGTCGGTGATGGGCTGGAAGATCTCGCAACCACATCTATCGCAAGTGTATGCGCTGACTTGGACAATTGGCTTCACATCGGAAACTCGAGTGGCGATAGCGCGGATGGTGATGAGATGACCCAGATGCTCGCCGCGCACTTGCCGGACGGCCAATGCCTTGGCGGGCTTGCTTGAGGTGCCCGACCTAGGCTTGAAAACAAGGGTGTATCTGCGGGTCAGCTCGGCAGGGAACTTGTCTCCTTCTACTGTAGGGTCACGCTCGGCAGCCTCGTCAAGCTCTCGGTTTCTGGCTTGTCGTCGCGACATCAGCACATCAAGGACATCATCCTTGAAGCTATCATTGGCTGGTTAGTATAGCTCGCTTCAACTTGATTCAGTAACTCACGTCACATCCACACTTGGCTGGGGCATCACCGCATCCACAGCTCTCGAGACGATCTCGACATAGTGTTTTGTGTTCATCTCAATAGAGTCAACAAGCCTCAAGCTGTCGTCGCTGTCGAATGCCTGATTCTCCCACTGCAATATGGTTAGTAGTTGTTGATAATCCGACATGGAATCCGTACTATTGCTAGATCATCTAGATCGATCGTGGCCTCGTCAATTACTCGGTCTGCCAGTTGCTGAAGCATATCCTTGTACTTGTGGTGAGGGGCTCGTTGGCGCTCCTTATCCTGGCCACGATTTCCATTCTGATTGTCCTCGTCCATAGGGTCATAATCATCGTCAAGGTCATCTTCGCCGATTGTGATGTTTCCGAGCGCTGTCGTGATGGTCTGCTCGGCCGACGTCTTGTAGCCCGTCAAGAAGTCTTGGAATGCATCTGTATGGTTGTTAGTGTCGGTCGCCTTTACAGCTTGGGCCTCAAAGAATCCTCACGCTGCTGCTTCTCGTAACTGACGGGGGCCTTGAACTCGCGCAGCGCCATTGTGAAGTATCTTGTGCGAAAGGCAAAGTCGATGAGCGCTGGGAAGTTGTGAAGCTACGGTATGCAGATGGAGAGATGCGATCGCGATGCACAAATTGAGTGGGCTGGGGCGGGCCGCAGGGCAACGACGGTTGCGCTGGACCTTCCACGCGAACAGCTGAACCAACGCGTCGTTTCGCGTTTTGGGCTGCACCGCCACATGCAGAGTTTAATGGGCCTGCGCCACAGCTTCGGCTTTTCTGCAAGCAAGAAGAAGCGCACGGGTCCCTCATCGCTGCCCAGGACAGAAGAAAGCTGGGGAAGAACGGGGAAGTACCCGAGCACGTGTGAGCTGCCTCGGCTGCGGGACGGGAACGGAGTCCAGGTCGGAGGTGCTTTCGGCGCCAGGTCCCCGAACTCTTTCGACAGACAACATTTGTTCGACCTTTTCTTCCTGCGAAGGCAATGACGCTGGCTGCATTCTAATTCTCTACGCGTTACATCATGCCTCCCAAGAAGAATGCGCAGTCCGTGTCGGCGGAGATCTCGCTGGCTCATCTCAAGAACTGCTTGGTCAACCTCCCCTCGACGCTGGTCTCGCTGCTAGTGAATGTCAACACTGTGAGCAATTGCCTTTAGCCCCCTTTCGACTCGACAGCGTATTGACTTGATATGCACAGCCAGTTCAAAACGTCGTCGTCGAACTAAGCTTCCGAGATGCCGCATCGAGCGGAACAAGCCAGCAACGGTCCGTCTTTGTGGGATGGACCGGCATGCCAAGCAAGAGGAGGACAGCGCCGCCATCTACGCGCGATGGATTCAATGGTTCGAGAGGTTCTTCGCGCGACCAAGATATTCAACTAGTCGAGCTTGATGCGACGTTTGCGAAGACGATAGGGTTGGCGGAGGGCCAGAAGGTCATGGCGACCGTCCACCTGGATCCCCCGCTGGCGCATACCATCAACATTGAGCCTCTCACACCCGAAGACTGGGAGATTATTGAACTCCACGCGACATTCCTCGAGTTGAACCTCATTTCACAGATTCGAGCGCTCCCGAACCCCTCATTCAAGCTCGGCGAGACGCCCGTCGCTCCTCATGCATTGACCCTGCATCTCTCCCCAACCTCGACCGCGAATATCAAAGTCCTCTCGCTGGATCCTGTTCCTCCTGCAGACTCGCCGTTCGCAAAGATCTCCCCCGATGCCGAAGTCATCGTCGCGCCAAAGACAAGGCAAAAGAGTTCTCAAAATTCTGGTGACCATCGCAGCGTAGCGAGCACCTCGAAATCCAAGCGAAGCGGTACGAGTACTGTGCGCCGACGGAGTACCAGGGAGGAGCGGAAGCCTACCATGTTTCTCCGTGGTGTTGACAGGAAATCTTGTGAAGAATGGTTCGACGAGGGACCTCTCGCCCAGGATTTCAGCGTTTGGGTTGACCGCGACCTCCTACTGGGCGATGCCTTCAAGGGGGTCAACTATGTCGTGGTGGATGTCATTAAGCCTGCAGGCCTTCTACAGCCTCAACCGGAAGAAGGTGGTGCTCCAGCCGGCATGACCGCGTCGTCAAAAGTGATTGCCCACCTACGATCATGGATTGATCCTCCAAATAGCCAGACAGTTGCTCTTTCGTCGCCTCTATGTGCAACCCTTGGGTGCACTGGTATGGTGGGCGGCGTCGTGAAGCTTCAGGCAGCACCACAACAGCTACCCAAAGGACCAGTCCAAGGGGTCAAGGTGTTTCCGTTTGCTGCAAGCACCAAGACGGTCGAGGGTCTTCGGTTCGGTGGTGAATCCAAGGCTGAAAAGGAGGAATCTGCCAGACGATTCCGTCAGATCTACAATGCCTCGCGAGGCATTGACGGTCTCCTTCAAGGACCGTTGACTGATGGTGCTGTTATGGGTGTATACGACGGCCTTGACCCCCCTCAAGGCTGGGAGGGCGGTATCATCAAGTTCACCTACGGCGCAGACTTTCAAGAACAAAAGGATGCGACTAACTGGATAATGGGACTTGACCCCAAGTTGGCCATCGACTTCCAGCCACCTACCCCTCGGCCATCATGGATATTGGACTCGGACGGATTCGAGCGACAGCCTACCCATGACTCACTTCTCGTGGGGATTGACTCACTCCTAGACAATCTCCAGTCTCAACTTGTGCATCTATCATCAGTCCTTCTTACCGGAGGCATGGGATCAGGAAAGACATGTGTGGCTAGGCACTTGGCTCAGAAGCTGCGGGAAGAATCACTCTTCCATACGCTTTATTATCCATGTCGGAAGCTTGTCAACGACGAGACGAGGATCTCAACGATTAAGGAAACTCTCAACCGCCTTTTCATGTCTGCAAGCTGGGGGGCGCGACTAAACGGAAAGGCTGTTGTGATCCTCGACGACCTGGATAAGCTGTGCCCTGTCGAGACAGAGCTCCAAGTTGGAAACGACAATGGGCGGAGCAGACAAGTTGGAGAGATTCTAGGTTCGATTGTCAGGCAATACTGCACTCGAGACAGCGGTGTGGTACTTCTGGCAACAGCTGAGGGCAAGGAGTCGATCAACAATGTGGTTGTCAGTGGCCATGTTGTACGCGAAATTGTCGAGCTCAAGGCACCCGACAAGGAGGCGAGACGACGAGTGATGGAGTCTATTGTGATGCAAGACGCCATGACAGCGGAAGAGGCGGCAACCCAGTTCAGTGACGAGAGTCGACCACAGACTGCCGATGGCAGCACAGGAGACGACAGCGGCGCGTGGATGGATGGTGCCAGTCATACAAGCCGTGAGAACCCGCCAGCAAAGACCAGCGGGTTCCTTTTGGATTCAGATCTCGACTTTTTGGATATTGCGGGCTCTACGGATGGATATATGCCCGGTGATATCAGCGTGCTCGTCTCTCGAGCGAGGAACGAGGCCATCATCCGGGCCATTGCCGAATCACCAAACTCCACAGGGCCTGTCCATTTTGCCAGGACTGATTTTGACAAGGCGTTGAAGGGCTTCACACCGGCTTCACTGAGGAACGTGACTCTTCAGAGCTCTTCTACCAGCTTCAAGTCGATCGGCGGCCTTCAAGAAACACGACAAGTGCTCCTCGAGACGCTGCAGTACCCGACCAAGTACGCACCAATCTTTGCGCAGTGCCCTCTACGACTACGATCCGGTCTTTTGCTATACGGATATCCCGGCTGCGGCAAGACTCTCCTTGCGAGTGCCGTGGCTGGCGAGTGCGGTCTCAACTTTATCAGTGTCAAGGGACCCGAGATTCTGAACAAGTATATCGGAGCCTCGGAGAAGAGTGTGCGTGACCTGTTTGACAGAGCGCAGGCAGCGAAGCCCTGTGTACTCTTCTTTGATGAGTTTGACTCTATCGCCCCCAAGAGAGGACATGACTCTACCGGTGTGACGGATCGTGTTGTGAACCAGCTTCTAACGCAGATGGATGGTGCCGAGGGACTGTCGGGAGTCTACGTTTTAGCAGCCACTTCACGACCTGACCTCATCGACCCGGCTCTGCTCCGTCCTGGTCGTTTGGACAAGTCCCTGCTCTGTGACATGCCGTCCCTGGAGGATCGGGTCGATATCATCAAGGCCCTGTTCCAAAAGGTCCGGCTCTCAGATGAGCTGACCGAGTCTGACGGACCCCTGACGGATGTCGCCCGACGGACCGAAGGCTTCTCGGGTGCCGATCTACAGGCCCTCGTGTCGAATGCGCAGCTGGAAGCAATCCATGACGTTCTAGACGTGGATGGTCCTACAGTCACGTCGAAGCGTACGAATGGAGCCGGTGGAAAGCCAAACAGCACGCCTAGCTTTGTGCAGTTCCGCTACGGAGAAGAGGCCAAGCCCTCGGACCAACCAACCCCAAAGAGCAAGTCAGCGGCGCTGGTCGAGAATGCGGCGATCCTGTCCAAGCTAGATGAGATCAAGATTGCGCGCAAGAAGGCGAAGCAGGTGCACGGTGCCCCGGCGGCGGTAAACGCGGACGCCAAGGCGTCTGCCGGTGAGCAGCGGGAGGTGGTGATCGGATGGGATCACCTGATCAAGGCGCTTGACAACACACGGGCGAGTATCAGCTCCGATGAGAAGACGCGGCTGCAGAGGATCTACACCGAGTTTGTGGTGGGTAGGAGTGGGCAGATGAAGGATGGGCAGGGCAGTATGGAGATTGGGGGACGGAGCAGCTTGATGTAACATGTATGGACATATAATGGCGGCGAGATTTAACGATGGATAAATAGAACACCTTTCATACATGCAATTTTGTCTATGGTTTCCATCTATACCTAACGCGAGGCGTCATCCTCTGCCGTGATCTTGGCCAATGTCTCCTGGACTGTGGCATGAATACCTCCCCTTGCAGCAAGCAAACCCCGGTTCTGGTTCAAGTCCCTTCCGGCTCCAAAGTCAATGGTCTTGCCGTCCAGATCCGTCACTTTGCCGCCAGCCTCGGTCAAGACGAGCTGGGCGCCGGCGTGGTCCCAGATCCACATTCGAACCTCCGGTCCCGAGGGAACTCGGAGCTGGAAGTCGCCTCCGCCGACAGCTAGGGCGGCGTACCGGATGTGTGACGACCACACCTCGGTGTTGGGGTACACTGCTCCGAACGAAGCAGCGAGCTTGGCGATGAGGTCGTGACGAGATGTCTTGCTCGAGGAGCAGTCGACGATTCTGGCGTCTGAAAGACTCGAGGCCTTGTCGAGACCCTCTAGCGGGCGGGCTTCTTCGAGACCACTGAAGTTCATGGTGCGGATTGTTGCGCCCTGGCCTCGGACGGCTGACAGCATGAGACCAAGTCCCTCCTTGTCGACAGTTGTCTCTGCGAGGACGCCATCTACGGGCTTGAGGTTGGGACAACCCAGCACGCCGACGACTTCTCGACCGTCCTCGATCAAAGCCAGAGAAACAGCGTACTGCTCGCCTCGAAGGAAGGTTGCCGTACCATCAACAGGATCCATAACCCAGAAACGTCCAGTCCTTCCTCCCTCACCACGACCTCCAAGATCAATCAAATCAAGCATCTCATCCACCGAAGCCGGACTTGCCAACAATGCCTCATCCTCCTCACTTTCCAGATGCGCTCCAGAGGCAAGCTCATACACGCGGTCCCTCAGGGCAGCATCGCTACGCAGGGCACCAGAGTCCTCTTCTCCGACAAAGGTGTCACCGGGAAAGGCCTTGGTCAAGGCGCTGATGAGAATAGCCTGTGCGGCAAAGTCCGCGACAGTGACAGGCGAAGCGTCGGCCTTTGAGATGCCGCTGACGGAGGAGAGCACCTTTTTGGTGAGGATGGAAGCTCTAAGGACTGCGAGCTCAGCGATATGACGCTCACGGGCATATGCGGCGGCCATGATGAATATATGTATAAAGAATATTGATATTTTCTGAAGAGAATTAGCTAAAGATTCTGAAATAGTTTGGATATTCTTCTCGTACTTGTAGGTGAATGAATATGGACCACGTGCTTTTGCTGATGGACGTTACATGATCAGATTTAGTTGAAAATGAGGCGGTGATGGGAAATCGGATCAATCAATCATGATTGCTTGCTCCACGGATCCACAGAAACACAGTCAACACCAAACACGGGCGACTAAACTGCAAGACTCTTGACAAAATTACACATCTGAATCGCCTCACTTATACACAAGTTACGTTACATGTGTAGGAGGCACAAACTCATCGAGATGGGCATCAAAGATTTGATCACCGACTCTCATCATGATGCCACCGCTGGACTTGACCTTGACCTCTTCGTATCCCATGCTTGTCAAATCATGCACCGTGACAACTTCTTTCAAGGCTTCTGCCGCTTCTTCCTCTGATAACCGCCTCGCCTTGAACCTAAGGTGCTTTGATTTGCTAGAGAATCCTGTCGTGTACTCGACAAATAGCTCAAGTGAATTAGGCAGGGCAACAACTTCTTGTCGACCCTTTTCAACTTGTCTCCAGGAGTCTTCATCACTAACTTCGTTCTCTTTGCAGGGTAAGAAACCCTGCGAAGCAGAGGTCGAAATGCTTGAAAGACGTGTTTCGTACGTCTCCGGGCTTATAATCTGGCTCAATCGAGATCCAACACTGGAGTTTCTGTCTGCGTCTGTCCCGACTGTTGAATGATGCAAGTTCTTAGACGATTGGAAAACTTGAGCCTTTGGTGTAGAATACCCACTGGCATCCTGATATTCGTCTGCTGGCGGTTGTTGAGGCTCCTGCGTAGACAAAGACCCGGACAAGGGCCCAGATAACGACAAAGGCTTAGAAAACGACAAAGACCTGGACAATGGCCTTGGTGAAGACCTAGACAAAGACGCAGGTGGAGAGTTTAGCGGAAGCTCAGGTGAAGGTATAGGTGAAGACGGAGGCTTGGGTGAAGACCTGAGTTCCGCACTGCTCTCAACCGTGTTGTGACTTGGAGCCGCCTCTTCCTCCTTTTCAGAACCATCCTTTCCGGCAGGGCTTCCCTGATGCGAAGAAAGAGATTCATCTGCCTGCTGTCCATGAGAGCTCAAGGTTTCAGTCCCATGCTCGGGAACAACCGTCTCGTCGCTGTCAGAGCCTTCAACCATCTCCCGCAATACTTCCGCCTGCTGCGTGAGAATCGACATTCCTGATACTGCAGCCGATGGTACAGTGCTCTCTAACGGATAGTTCATACGCTCTACCCCTTCCTTGATTATCCGGTTAATCTTGACCACCGCCAAGCGCTCCAACTCCAGAGAAAATCCCCTCTTCACCTCCTGGAGGCCACTGGATGGCAGTCTCCAGCCGGGGTAGATCCTCCCGTGGGTTCTTGGGATGCTGTACTTTCCGTGAAAGGCAATGAAGGCGTTGCAGAGATAGCAGGCATCCTTGTTGGAGGCAACTACCCTTGGAGGCGTCGGGCCCTTGTGTTGATCGAGATACCAGATGAGCTGCATTTCAGCATGAACTCTTGGATGACGCATCAGCGGGTCAATTTGGCTTTTATAGCACCTAGATTCGCTTCCAAGGTAACCCGAAAGCTCTTTGACCATCTTGGCAGTATTCCAACTCGTTCCGTGGTGAGCTTTCAGCTTATCCAGCATAGCCGGAAGACTAGGACGCTGTGCAACAGGATGCTGGACAAGTGTCGAGGAGTCCAATACCACGGGGAGTGTATTGGCCTGACGGGTACATTGATATCGCCTGGCGAGTTTCACCAGTGTCGTCGCTGCCCTTTTGTAGTTTCCCACTTTTCGTATCATGTTGAGAACCGCCTCGCATGTACTCGGGTCAGCACGCGGTTTCATGCCGTTCATATCCTTGAGAAGTATAGTTCCAACAGTCGGCATCTCGGAAAACTCGTAGCATACTTTAACAATAGACTCGAGGTCTTCGTCCCTAATTAACGCCCAAGTACCACCGATTGGAGGAGTGAATGCAGCCTGATACTTGACCAGCTCAGACATCAACTGGTTGCTCAGTGTCAGAAAGTTGGTACGATCCGCTCTCCGCGGAGACTGTTCGATTGCTGAGTTAATTTCTCTCAGGAATTTCTGAAATGTCGGCTTGTTCTCGGGGTTGATCATCCTGATTCTTGACAAGATCCGCCAGCGACACATCGACACGATGGCGCCAAACACATCGCTTTCAAGTTTCTCGCGAGAGCCTCGAGTTTATGTTAGGAGAAGGGGGCTCCCAGTGTGGCACTCTTGACTTACTCCTTGAGGCGTCTTTGAGTAGGGAAAAGACACTGTCAAAGCCCTCCTTCACCCATTCCAGATATGGCGATACAGGTCCAGGGCCTTTGGTGTTGGCAGCAACCATGACGACCAGTCCATGTCTTGTCTCCTCGACGCACACGGCTGTCACATTTCTAATGTCGTCCTTTATTCCAGACAATAATCCAAGAGTGGTCGTTAGGTGTTTCTCATCATTGAGAGAGATAGTCCAGCCAACGTCTGCCTCCTGATGCCGGGTCAGGTTCTTGTGAGGGTGCGATGCAACTTGTCCGAGATAGTAAAGAAGAGCAATGTTCTGGGCACAGTCTGCTTCTAAATCTATGCTGGGCATTTCCATCTCATCTCATGGTTCGAGTGTTCATGTTTGACGAAGGGGAGTTTCCCGCAGACCTTGGCTCATCCTTCATCAGACCCGAGCAAGTTTCAACCTTCCTGCAGCTTCCGCAGAGGTCCCAGCAGTCAATCATGATTGATTGCAAGCGCTTATCCGTCATTGTGAGCTGTGTGGTTGGCTCCGAGATACTGCGGGAGGCCGACCACGGTGACGAAAGGGCAACGATGCAGCACAAAACAGACCAGCAACAATTGATGCCCAACCCTTGTTGCAGCCAGTGATGGAAGGCATTTCTACAGTATAAATGCACTCTAAGCGTGTCCCAACCAGTGTACCAACCGCCACAGCCTAAGATTCTCCCCATCAACCCTTCATAATAGTAATCAACACTTGGTAGAGTTGTCAATATTCGGTCACCAGTCAAACAGTCAAGGACACAGTGATTTGTCATGTACTTTATAGCTTCAACCATATCTATGCCACCGAGCAGAAGCCTCTTGCTGGTCCTGCCCCTTTTTTTCCACAGGCCCTGTAAAACATCTTTCATCTAAGAACAAGGGCTCATTTGCATGCACCTGTACGCCTCGCCTCGCCTCGCCTCTGCTCTGCCTGCCTTTCATCCCTGGCAGTGAGCAGCCATTCATCGACCCTCTGTAGTTGGCCAGATCCATCACATCAGCTGTGAGTTAGATAGCCTACCTGCCTCTAGGTCGTGCTGCATGAAAAGAAGAAGAAAACAAGAAAAAGAAGACAGCCTACTCCGGTAAGAGAGACGCGAGGCATGCGAATTAGCAGCCAGGCAAGGCCTGTCCTCGTATGTATCAGTTTGGCCAAGCTTGGCCATATAGCATAGCATAGCAGCAGTGACAACTCCTTCCACCACAGGTCCTATAATGCAACGGGGTATGATCTCAGCCTCTCCGCTCCGCTTCACGTACTTGCGTGCAACATGATGCCATCCATCTGTACAACCAAACGCCAAAACCATGCTGAAAACAAACATGCTATGTTGAGTTGCTGTGAAACACAATTCACCTTCCCTTCGTAATCAAGTGTCTCTAAAGACCTGTCTGTCGTGCTGAGCTGAGGTCTCTTCTGAGAGATGAGACCATTCATTAGGCCCCGTTGGTCTTGTTCGAGCTGGAGCCGCCCTTGTTGCGAGAGTGCAGCGTACGATACATGTTGCTCAGTCGCTTGCCTGTCACGCTCTTGCTGGTGTCGTCGACTGGCCACAACGCTGCCAAAAAGTCCCTACATCAAGCATGTTAGTCCAGGTCGCAGGTCAGGCTGTATCAATGCAGCTGTACTCACCAAAAGTTGCTCTTGAGACCCTCGTCCGCAGCGGTAGCCGGCAATTTTTCGTCCAGGAATGTGCCAATAACTACCAGTTCCACTCCAAAGATGGAGGCTCGTTCCTTGCTTGACTTGACATTGTCCTTGGTGGTTGAGAGAATCTTTTCGAAATTTTCTCTGACGGGCTTCAGGAGGAACCAGATCATGGCATCGTTATCCTTATCCCTCTGGTCCTTGTTGTCACCGATTCGCCTAAGCTCATCCAGTCGACGAAGAGCCTTGGCTCGGCGCTCATCTTGAGGACGAGATTCTTGGGGTCGCTCGCGCACACGATCCCTATCGCGGTCACGCTCTCGCTCGCGGTCCCGGTCACGATCACGATCACGATCCCGCTCACGGTCACGGTCACGATCTCTGTCTCGCTCTCGCTCTCGCTCACGGTCGCGGTCACGGTCGCGTTCGCGATCATCACGATGCCGGTCGCCACGTCGTTCATCACGATGTCCGTGGCTGTGACGATGCTTCTCAGCTCTTCGGTCATCATCATCACGATGTCGACGCTTCTCAGCTCTGTCCCTATCGTCGCCGTGCTTGCCAGATCGACGGTGATCATCCAGCCGGCGATGCTTGGGGCTCCGGCTGTCCTCATGGGAAACATGCTTCCGCTTGTAGTCGGGCCTTGGAGTTCCACGCTCGTCGGTATAGCCGCGTGGCCGATGGTCGCCATGAGCATGATCCCGATCACGGTCACGATGTTTCTTGCTGACTTGGGGTGCAGGGGATGCAGTAGCACTTCCGCGGTGGCCATTGGCAAGATGACTCTTCTTGTTGTTTCGGTGGTGATTCTCCACGGCTCGCTGCACACTTCGATCGTTCGAGTGCTTCGCTTGCAGGACTGAGAGCAGGTATTCAGATCGGCGAACAAGATGTACTGCGCCAGGCGCCTTCATCTTGTCATTGGCCTTGCTACGCTCCTCCTTCTTCTCGACACGATGCTCTTCCAGGAAGAGCTTGTCCGTCATGTCCAGGTCAGGGTCGTCGCGAATCTGAGGCCAAGCACCAAAGCCGTGTCTGTCGATGCCAACCAGGAGCATGGCATCCTCCTTAGCACCCCATGAACAAGAATAGTTGGCAGCCTTGGTGGCGTCGGGAAGACGGAATGCTCGCCAGTCGCTGTGCCCGTTGATAACCTGTCGAAGAAGTTGAAGTTGCTTGGGCCGCTCGATGGCCGTCTCGGCATTGATCTTCTTTAGGTCGCCAAAGTCAATCAGAACAGCCTTGCGATCCTTCTTGGTGAGTGTCTTGCCAAGCCTCTTCTCTTCCTCCACCATGGTGATATAATTGTCATCAACAGCTTCCTTGGCTGCTTTGATGAATTCATCAAGAACCGACTTGACATAGTCTTGGTCTCTTTCCTTGAGCTTGGCCTCTCTGATGATCTCCTCACCGCGGTCGTCCATCGAGCCGAACCGGAAGTAGGCTTTGATGAGAAGACGCTGCTCCTTGTCTGTCAAAGGCCTCTTGGGGTCCGCGATCAGGGCCTGTCGCTCTTCCTCTTCCTTTTCTCGCTGTTCTTTCTGCCGTTTCTTAAACCGGTCAGCACGCTCAGTTTCCCTGTTGCGGCTCTTGACGACGGCTCTTCGGGGAGCACTCTCAGCCTTGACCTGGGCAAGATAGTCCTCGTGTCGCCGCTGTTCTTCGTCTGCCTTGATTTCGGCAAGCTTTTCAGCAGGAATAATCTGATCCCAGTCGAGATTAAGGTCGTCCACCTTGACATCCGTGATCTGCATGAAGTTGTCCCAATCAATGCCACCACTACTGAGGTTGATCTTGTCGTCAACCTTGGTCTTGGTGACTTCAGCGTTCTCCAGGATCGAGTCGATGTCGAGTTGCTCCAGGCGTTCTTGGTTGCCGCTCTGCTCAAACATCTTAGATGAACGCATCTTCAAGACCATCTGAATGTCTTCAGATGAAGAGGGCCCATCGACCTTGAGACCCTTCTTATTGAGCTCTTCTTTGAATGCAGCCTTGCCATCGTCCGTGACACCAGCCTGAATCGTCAGATACTCAAGCAGGAGCTTGTTGCGTGCTCGTTCAAGAACTTCTTCCTCGACTGTTTCCTTGGAAACAAGACGATAGATGTTCACGGGTCGCTTCTGACCGATACGGTGGGCTCTGGCCATGGCTTGCAAGTCGGCCTGTGGGTTCCAGTCGGAATCAAAGATGACAACAGTGTCGGCAGTCATCAGGTTGATACCTAGACCACCTGCTCTGGTCGAGAGAAGGAAGCAAAAGTCATCGCTGTCGTCGGCATTGAAATGATTGATGGCCATGCGTCGGGGTCCGGCTGCGATGGTTCCATCTAATCTCTGGAACTTGTACCCTCGTAGGGAGAGGTAGTCACCAAGAATGTCAAGCATCTTGACCATCTGGCTGAAAATTAAGACTCTGTGGCCGTCCTTCTTGAGCTTGGAGAGAAGCTGGTCAAGAAGCATCATCTTTCCACTGCTGGCAATCAAGCCCTTGATCTGGTCTTCGCGACGAACGCTGCCGGCGAGCACCTTTTCCTCGGCACCTGGGAACATATATGGATGGTTGCTGATCTTCTTGAGCTCCATCATGATGTTCAGCAAAGAGTTCTTGTGACCGTTGGTCGCATCACAGAGGGCAGTGTAGTTGCGAGTGAGGATGTTCTTGTAGTAGTCCAGTTGGACATCTGACAGCTCAACGCGGATGATCTTCTCAGTCTTGGGTGGAAGATCGGATTCGACAGTTTCTTTGGTTCTTCGCAAAATGAAAGGAGCAATGGCCTTGTGGAGTTGCTGAAGCTTTTCTTGCGCATCGTTGGCAGATAGAGAGTCAAGATCCTCATCAATGGCCACCTTGCCCGGGTTCAAGAAGTCGAGCAGGGCTGACAACTCGGCTAGGTTGTTTTGGATGGGTGTTCCGGTGATCAAGACCTTGCACGGGATACCAAAGCTCACCAAGCGGCTGTACAGTTGGGATTCACGGTTCTTGAGACGATGCGCCTCGTCGACGGCAAGGGTCTGCCACTTGATGGACTGCAAGAACTGCCAGTCCTGGAGGATGAACTCATACGAGGTGACCAGGATGTTGAACTTGGGCTTCTTCGGGTTGTTATCCACGAGAAGCTCGTGCTCGCGAATGATGTTTCGGGCATCTTCAGGTCCCAGATAAACGACGTAGTTAAGGTCTGGGGACCAGGTGTTGAAAGTATCACACCAGGCGGGGATGACACTGAGAGGAGCAACCACAAGTGAAGGTCCCTCCTGGTGGCGAGCGTTGCGCAGCCAGCTGAGGAATGACACGGTCTGGACTGTCTTGCCGAGACCCATCTCATCGGCGAGAATCACATTGTTACCTCTGCACCAGTTGAGGCAGAGGAAGTTAAGACCTCTCAGCTGGAACGACCGAAGTTCGCCGCCTACGATGTAGTCAGGCTGCTTTTCCAACTTGACCATCCTTGACCGTGAGTCGAGGCTGGTTTCCTTGCGGTCCGACTGCCATGAACGAGAGGCGCGGTCAAGGTATTGGTCAATCTGGTCCTGGAACATGTCGCTGATGTCCGCTGCAGCCTCCCAGGTGCACTCCTCGTAGGTGAGGCCCTTCCATTTGACAAGGTACTCGTCGCCGTCTTCACCGTCTCTTGTAGCAACCACTCGCTCAACCTTGATGTAATCCTCGTAGGCCTCGTCGTCTCGTTCGCGGTCAAGGAAGAACTGCTCCTTGGTCTCGGGAGGAATGTCGTCGCCAAAGCGGATGTCCAGCTCGTAGTCAACGAACTTCTTGAAGTAATTCTCGACCTTTCTAAATCCGCGAACATTGCGAAGGTCGTCGAGTGTTTCCCAGGTGTCATGCAAGTGAGACTTGCCCTGCCATTTGATGAAGTATTCAAAATCACCTTTGGTCATGTCATAGGTCAAGTCCTGCCCGTTTATCGGGCGATACCGCACTACTTTTTCCACGTATGGGGAATCGTCGACATAGTCAACGACGTAGTTGGAAGGGGCGAGGTCATCCTCGTCTTCTTCTTCGTCAAAGTCGCTCTCTTCATAAGCTCCTTGTTGTACCTGCGCGGCGCGACGACTTGACCAGCGCTTTTCGGCGTATGCGAGAGAGGGCTGGGCCTCGCGTTGCAGCCGAGCCTTCTTCTGAAGACTCTTGGCGCGCGCGCCGCCGTATGTGTCTGAGTCGGAGTCGGAGTCGTTTGTTGACGCTCGTAATGTTGGTGTACCTATCTTGGAAGCTGGATGACCGTGTTAGTCCGAGTCGCAACGATCGAGTAGAATCAGGAGAAAGGGGGTGCTTACAAGGAAGGGATGTTTCTACACGTCGTCGTTTGACCGTACGACGGCTGACGGGAGGTTCGGATTCGGAGTCATCGGACTCGACCTGTCGCGACTTGGTCAATAACGCTCCTCGAGATAGATTCGGGATGACTACGTACGATTTTACGTTGTTCTCGAGGTCGAGTCTGCAAGTGCCGGTCAGCCAAGAAGATGGCGGTGAAAATTTTTCGCTTCTTACACTTCGTCTCAATCCATAGAGTTCTGGATTGGCCTTGATATACTCGTCCTCCTCAATGGGCACTTTGCGTTTCGAGGCTCTGTTCGAGTCTGTGGAGCTGGCGCGGTCCTCAACCGCGTCGTCATTCTGAGATGGCAGGCTCTCCTCCATGTCAAAGTCACCGTCCTCGGACGCGTTGTCCTCGCTGGAAGGTTCACTCTCTGACATATGTGTGTCGTCCTGTGCCATATTCGAGGTCTCGTTCACATCGTCCGAGGGTGACGGTGATGGATGGTCAAGCGTATGATCGTGGACATCAGGGGAGTCGCTATCGGTTGCGTTGTCGCCTGTATCGAACGACATGCTGATTTGATTATCTGGAGATAAATGTCCATTGGAAGGACCCCCAAAAGTAGGGGTGGACATCATGATGGCGATGGCAGAGGCTACCTGCTATGAGACGCGACGATGTTAGCCAATGTTCTGGGCCAGCAGGTGCGGTTGAGGGATTAACGGAACGAGGCGACTCTGGCGACCCAGGAACGGTGCCAAAAGCGCCCGGAAACGCGAACAACGATGGAGATGGTTCACTTGTCGCATCCCGCGTGCGTTGTAGATGGCAAGGCTGATGAAAACCCGACATCGCAATTGGGAAGCCTGGGTGGCCACGGTGTCGGGTACGGGGTCGCAGGGGCATCCGAATGAGCGAGAAGCATCGAATCCATCAAAGGGAAGCACGGTATCGCTTATATACGACTCTATGGGAGCAATATCGCGATGGAGATGGCAGGAGTCGAGGCGGGATCGACAACAGGCGACGGGCCAGCAAGCCAGCAAGGCGGCAGCGGCAAGGGGGAAGCGGGAAGGATGAGGGAAACTTACAAGTCATTAAAGAATGACATCCAGGCGGCAACCAACATCTAGATGTATCGGAAGCTTCACCGGGGGTGCTTGGCGGGATCGGAGGACGGAACGGGGGTAACGTGGGTGAAGAGGTGACGGGCGGATTCTCAGAATGCGAGGCAGGAAAAGAAGTCGAGAGGTCCGAAAAGGCAGGGCCACTCTTGTCCTAATTGGGTGATGGTCTGGGGTGGGTGCGTATCACGTGACCCATTCCCGTCATGCGAACAACCGGACGACCTTGAAAGCTCCCGACGTAGTACAGTGAATACAAGGGATCTTTGGCTTTTCACGGCAATATGCAGGGCCAGGTTGTTTAATGTCGCGTTTAACATTGTATCCTTTGGCGTTCTAACTTTTCTTCTCACTTTCTTGTTGAGGCGTTCGTATCTTCACAAGGAGGCTTCGAGGACCGGCCAATCATAGCGCAACACCATCACCCTAAATTTTGACAGAAACGGTAAATGGAAATTCCTGTGGTTGAGAAAACTCTTAATCGTTTGTTACAGGATATTTCCTTGTTTGAGAACCATGCGTTTCGTCTCTTGTTTGCTTCGAGGAGGCTTGTGGTTTGTGGCAGGCTGCCATCAGGGTATGTATTGACACTGTTTGGGTTTGTCACTTTGTGTCAGATAAAAGACTATTTGGGGCCCAAAGATGGAGCACTTCAGCGTGGTCACTGCCCGCCCCGGGGAAGTTTACAGTGATTGGCGTTGCCCTATGTTTATGGGGAAGCCCTGTTTGGCCTAGAATGTAATGATCTGTCTGTTTCCATCAATGTTGCTGCCGTTGTTCCCCGAGCTCAGGAAGTCATCAGCAATGTGCCTCATCAGCTCGCCTGATTTTCAAGCCCCCTCTCGCATTCTACTGAGGTATCGATGGCTACATAGGTAAGTACAATATGCGGTCAGATCAGAATTGATCACGTGGTTTTATGTTGCTTGGTTCCTCTGACATGCTCAACACGTGAGGTGCGATTTCTTACACCCATGTGCATGCAACCCTAGAGTTAAACAACGAGCACATCCAAGTGCGCAAGTCAAGCATGTCTCAGGAGATGCTAGTTACCAATACAACATTTACAGTTTCTATACACTTGAGAAATCATTAATCAATGCCCTATTTTACGATCGGAAGATGTTCCAGTGTTGGTTTGAATACTTGATCCCTACTTTACGGCTTGAGCGTGGTCTGGTCTAACAAGCTTTGCTACTGTATTGAGTCACAATTCTGACCACCAACCCATAGTGTTAGTTCAAGTATGCAGTAAGCAGCTGCCTGAGCAACACGATAGACACAATATCAAAAACCGAAGACAACCATCTCCAACTCGGCCAGGGCGGATGCTGATGCACGGGTGTTCGCAGGTATCCCTTGTCCACCTCAACCTTTGGGCAACGTCATAGGTAGCTGGAGCCCAACTCTCATCCACTGTAGCCCCCTTGCCAGGGCGAAGCAACCGCCGCCGCCTCCCACACAAAATCGGCTCCCAAGACCCACAGCCCTGGACGACTCACAGGGCACGGATTACCACCACACGAACCTGGAACTCCCGTCGGGTTGACCTGTGATCTTTTCTCCTTCTTCTTTATCCTCTGCTGTCCGTAAAGGAATCTCGAATAGTGCCTGCGTGCCATCGTCTCCTGCGCGCGAGAGATCCCCCCGTCTTCTCCGTCTTTGGAGCTCGAGCTCGACCTTGCTTGTCCCACTTTCTCCCACACACACAAAAAAAATCCACCCCCCACCAACTTGAACTTGGATTGGAAGTTTTTCGTGCTCGTCGTCAGTCGCAACAATGTCGGACAAGCTTACACGGTATGTGCGGCTGGATGAGGAGGAATAACTCGATATAAGGGACAAGATCACAATGACTGACATGCCAATCCAACAGTATCGCCATCGTCAACAGCGACAAGGTCCGTCCACGATCGCCTCCCTCAAGCCAAACACGCTTTTTTGCCCCACCAAAGAAATTCTGACCCCTCCTTTTAGTGTCGCCCGCGAAAATGTCGTCAAGAGTGCAAAAAGTCGTGTCCCGTCGTCCGTAGCGGAAAGCTCTGCATCGAAGTCGCTCCCGAGTCTCGCCTCGCCTTCATCTCCGAGTCGCTCTGCATCGGTTGTGGTATCTGCCCCAAGAAGTGCCCCTTCGACGCCATCACCATCATCAACCTGCCCACCAACCTCGAGAGCCAGGTCACCCACCGCTATGGCCCTAACAGCTTCAAGTTGCATCGCCTGCCGATGCCCCGACCGGGACAGGTTCTGGGTCTTGTCGGAACCAACGGTATTGGCAAGAGTACCGCTCTCAAGATTCTGAGCGGAAAGCTCAAGCCCAACTTGGGCCGACACGACAACCCCCCCGACTGGGAGGACGTCATCAAGCACTTCCGTGGCTCCGAGCTGCAGAGTATGTAACGGCGCAGACGTTTCAGTTGTTATTCTTGCTGACCCCACAAATAGACTACTTCACCAAGCTTCTGGAGGATGACCTCAAGGCCGTCGTCAAGCCCCAGTATGTGGACCAGATCCCCAAGGCTGTCAGGGGCCCCAAGAAGAGCGTGCGATTCCTGATTGAGAGCCGTGCCACGTCGGGCAACATGGAAGAGGTCGCCAACGTCCTGGAGCTGAACCACATCATGGACCGAGATGTCAACCTCCTCTCTGGTGGTGAGCTTCAGCGTTTTGCCATCGGAACTGTTGCTGTCCAGAAGGCCGATGTCTACATGTTCGACGAGCCCTCTTCTTACCTCGATGTCAAGCAGCGACTGAGTGCTGCCTCGATCATTCGCTCTCTCCTCCGAGACGACGACTACGTCATTGTCGTCGAGCACGATCTGTCTGTTCTTGACTACCTCTCCGACTACATCTGCGTCTTGTACGGTCGCCCCGCCATTTACGGTGTCGTTACCCTGCCCTACTCTGTCCGTGAGGGTATCAACATCTTCCTTGATGGTCACATCCCCACCGAGAACTTGCGATTCCGTGACGAGTCCCTAACTTTCCGTGTCGCCGAGGGTACCGACGACTTTGCCATCGACAAGTCCCGCGCCTTTACCTACCCCAAGATGGAGAAGACTCTCGGAAACTTCAAGCTCAACATTGACGCTGGTGACTTTACCGACTCGGAGATTATCGTCATGATGGGTGAGAACGGTACCGGAAAGACCACCTTCTGCCGTCTCTTGGCCGGTGCCCTCAAGCCTGACAGCAAGAAGTCGGTGCCTGAGATGAGAATCAGCATGAAGCCCCAGACCATCACCCCCAAGTTCGACGGTACTGTCCGCCAGCTCTTCTTCAAGAAGATCAAGCAGGCCTTCCTGTCTCCTCAATTCCAGACCGATGTCGTCAAGCCCCTCAAGCTCGACGACTTTATTGACCAGGAAGTCAAGAACCTGTCCGGTGGTGAATTGCAGCGTGTCGCCATTGTCCTTGCCCTCGGTATCCCCGCTGATATCTACCTGATCGACGAGCCTTCTGCCTACCTCGATTCTGAGCAGCGTATCATTGCCTCGCGAGTCATCAAGCGATTCATCATGCACTCCAAGAAGACTGCCTTTATTGTTGAGCACGATTTCATCATGGCTACTTATCTCGCCGACCGTGTCATTGTCTTTGACGGTCAGCCCGGTATCGACTCTCATGCCAACAAGCCCGAGTCCCTCCTCACTGGCTGCAACACCTTCTTGAAGAACCTCGACGTCACCTTCCGTCGTGATCCTACCAACTACCGACCTCGTATCAACAAGAACGGATCTCAGCTCGACCAGGAGCAGAAGATGGGTGGCAACTACGTGAGTTTATCTCTACCACTAATATCTTGCGCATAACAACTAACAAGCATCTACAGTTCTTCCTCGAGGAGAATCCCGATCAGAGCTAAAGGGCGTTAACAAGGAGATCTTTCCTCCCCTTGATGGTGCATCTCCCGGCGTTTGGGGCGTTCAAAACGGAAATGGGAAAAAGCAGCGCGGGGGCGGGCATGTTCGGGTTTTGGGAATAGACGACGACCACGGCGTCGGCGAGGATGACGATCCTGATGGATAACGACGGCGACGGCAGCGTATCCCCTGTTGTCTGGTCCTACGAAGAAGAGCCGGTCTCGCCGGAGAGCAGTTTTGTTTTTTGATCTTTTTGTACTTGTCGTTTCTTATTGCCTGACTCTTCAAGGTCCTTGATCGAGGACTTTAAAGAGTACACGGCATGGGCGAGACCGGACTGCTTCGTAGACTGAGGGACAATGGATCAAGTAGGATCACTGCCGTCTTGGGTTTCCTACCTCGCGGGAAACAACCCCAGAAGAAAGATGGCTGTCAGTTAGTTTTACCATATTCACAATAACAACAGAAAAATTGGATCGTCAAAGAGGCAACCCATCAAGTATAACAATTGTTGATGTCCTAACTATCACTACCTGAATCCTATCATCTATCCATCCATCCAAGCAACTCCGCCACTACCCATAGGTGTTTTTTTTTACGCATATAAACTCACAGACCAAAATACCTAAAAGAAGGAAAAGGAAAAAAAGAGGATGATTGGGAGAGACACATACTGGCCAGACAAGAATTGTGCTTGTGTGTGCTTGTGCTTGTAGGGGAAGCAACGTGGTCGCCATCTGTTTCCACCGCTGCGGCACCGGGCGGCCATGGCGACGAGAAGCCGCAAGCCTGTACTCGAGAGAGTCATCTCGCCCAACAGACAGACGTGCCGGGGGATTGACGGTGCCGGTACGTACTAGGAATGAGTGCAGGTGCATGCCAGTCGAGCCCCGTGTTTACTTTAATCCTCCTCAATCTCGCCCTCCTCGCTTCCGGAATGGACGTCCTTGGATGGGGGTGGAGGTGTCTTTTTGCGAGGGCGCTCTTCAACAACGCGCGGCTCAGCACGCGGTGGAGGAGTACGCTCCCTTGATCGATCTCTTCTCAATCGCTGTAATCCGTGTCAACTATCAATGCCTTCTAGTTGTTCAGTGGAGCCTTCGTACCTTGGAGTCTCGCGAGTCGCGGCGAGTGTAGTCGTCTTCGTCATCAGGACGTCGGCGTCGAGAACCTGATGGGCGCTCATCATAAGGAAGCTCATCATACGAACCTCGGTCAATACGTCGGCGATACAGCCTCTCGCGCTCGTCTTCCCGGTCTCTCCGCTCACGCTCGTAGTGGCCATCGTCATCGCGACGTGAGCGAGAGTGACGGTCGTAGTCTCGGTCTCGTTCTCGCTCCCGATCGCGCTCCCGTTCCCGTTCGCGGCGTGGCGGCGGCGATAGGCGACCTCGGTCAGATCCCAAAAGGCCTTCTGCCATGGTCGATTTCCGATGGTTACGCTCTCGCTCAGCAATGGCCTTGCGTCTGTCCGCTTCGTAGGCATCTGGCTCCGGACTGCGACTACGTCGAGAACCACGTCCACCGCTTCGATGAGATCGCTCACCTCTGGATCGGTCCCTCTCGCGACGGTGCAAGTCCCGCTCGCTAGACATGCGATCACGCCGTCGGTAGCTTCGGTCTGCTTCCTCTTCCTTTTCTCGAAGCCGTCGAATGTGCTTGTCAAAGGCGCTTCGTCGAGCGTCCTCGGAAGTAATGGCCTGGAACTCGTCTGATTTGAGAAGTCGAGGTCGTACCTTGTCATACGTGTCATTCGAAGTGATGGGTGGTTCCATGCGCTTCATGTACGCGCGCAGATCGTCAACGGCTCTACGTTGATGGCGCTCAGAGTGGCGATCGTCGTCCCGCTTGGATGAGCGTTTCTCGCGTAGCTACCACGTGTGAGTCTGGATACAGGAGCAGATAGGCAAGTATACTTACTCGATCAAAAATGAGTTTGAGAATATCGGGTTCAATGTTAGCAGTCCGTCGATCATCGTTCATGATGGAGAGGAACTCGTCAAAATCGCTCGTAGGCGTGAGATCAAACCGCTTGTCCTGAAAGTTGTTAGAACGGCAAGATGGAATAATTCGTCGATTACTCACTTCCAAAACGTCGAGCACGTCATTCCTGGGTACGCGCAAACCGCGCTCTTCGTCTTCGACAATATCCCAGAACAGCTCCTGAGGAGTCGAGCCAGCTTGACCAAGCATGTTGAGGTATCGTTCGTCTTTCTCAATATGAGGGAAGATCTGGCTCCATTTCGTGCCGGCGTTGATCTTGCCATCTCGGCGAAGCTCACCGAGGAGAGCCTTGAACGCATCTCGCGCCTTACGCTCCTTGCGAAACTTCTTGTTCTTCTCCTCCTGTTTGGTGTCGTTGAACTTGCGCTCCAGGGCCTTCATATGGTTTTGAAAGGCAGTCAAGATGTCAAACTTGGTGAGAGCCTGGTACTTCTCGTCATTCTGAAAGGGCGGGGTGGATGAGATGATACCTTGAGCATCAGCCCAGCGAGTGTACGGTTCCAGGTTGAGCTTGGGCAAAAGATCAATAAGTCCGTCCATAGCGTTCTTCCTCTGGGATGTCTGCTGCTCGGCGTGCGCCTTCTTAAGCCCGATGATGTACTCTTCAAACAGCTGACGACGTTCACCCTCGTCGCTGGTAGAACGGAAAATGGTCTCGCCTTCGATGATGGGGCGGGCAGTCTTCCAGCGGGTGTAGTGAACGATCTCGGGATGCCTCTTAAGCATAGTCTCGAAGTCAGCCCGGAGCTTCGTTAACCTTTCCTTGGCGCGCTCCTTGTCCTGAATGACCATGTCCTGACAATACTTATCGAACGCGGCCTTTCGATCCTTGGGATCCTTGATGGCGCGGAACTGAGGATCTCGGGCAGTTGCTCGGATACCCTGCTCCCAGGTCCAATCTGGCTGGACCCCACTTCGTCGCAGGAGCTTGGTGAAGGCAGCCTCAGCCTCCTCAGCCGTTGCATATTCGGGGTCATTGGTGGCGGGGACAAAAGCCTGGACCTTGGGATCGTTTCCGTACGTGATCTGTCGGGACTCGGGATAGACGTCGCGCTGGTCGCGATGCTGGTCGTAGCCGTGAGAGTATCCGCCACCACCACCGGCGCTGGCGGGAGGCGTGTAGGGAGTCGCGGAAGCTGGGGTCGCGGGCTTGCTCGTTGCGCCGAGCGCGTTCTTATAAACGTCGGGCATTTCCCATGAGCTCTGCTTCGTCTCAGTATTATACCAGTACTTTCGACCTCCCTCCGCCGTGTACTCCTTCCAGGGTTGGTTCGCAAGGGCGCGCTTGAAACAACATGTTAGCATGACAGCGCACAACATAGAACAGAATGGACAATCTAACCTCGGCCGAGCTCATCATATCCTCAGGCTTGGTCCATTGAGTGACCTTGGTAGTCGCATTGTAGTAGTAGGCTCGTCCATCGGGGGTATGGTGCTCTTGCCAAGCCGAGGCAGGCTGGCTGTAGGGAGAGCCGTAACCGTTCATCGTGAGGCTAGGGCGACGTCGCGCGAGAGGGATAAGGCGATGATCGAATAGTTGCGAAAAATGCGACGCGTCTCGAGTGAAGCGACTGTGCGCCAAGCTTCTCCCTCCGTCAAGAGCGATGGCAATGGTGTTGAGGGTTGGAGTCGCGATTGTCGAAATTAGAGGCTGTTTGCTGGAGCCACAACTTTTTGGTGCACGGACCAGACGTTGAGCTTGAGTGATTACCTAATCAATTTCATCTGAGGACCACGTCGGTCTATGTAACAACAAAGGGGGTGTAACCAACGTCTTGACTTACACGGCTGGTCCGACGAACGGAGTGGAAAGGTGTAATTCGAGAAGGAGGCAAAATACTAAAAGTTCAATATTTGGTTGAATCTTTCAGTCAGTTGCAAAAAGTCTCACCCCCCGGGGCCCCTCGCCGCCACCATGTCCGACTCGGAAGCAACCCTGGAGCCAGAGTTCGAGGCTGACTCTCTCACCAACTTTGGCACCAAACTCATTTCTGATCCCACTACTGACTTTGCGGAGCAATCGCAACTCACATACCTTGTACCTTCAGAGACTAATCTGGATTTGGAGTCGGCTTTCAGAGATCTTGAGCCGGGAAAGTCAATACTCGACTCACTAGAGCGTCGGGACTCTTTGTTCTTTGGTGAGCTATTCGTTGTACCTCTGGTCTTAGACACCCTGTCACTGACTCTTGTGACTAGATGAAACGGTTGATATACTTCTACTCTTGAGAACACCATGGAAAGATGAAGCATCACTCCGGTCCCACCTCAACCGGCTAGTGATATCAGTTGAGGCTCAGGTGGTCAATAGCAAGACCCATGGCCGGGATAATTCTGTATCAGAGACCATCTTCTCAGGCACAGTTCCGGATATCAACGACCCCTTCATCATCGTTGATGAAGATGAGGATGAAGACGACGACGACGACGATGATGATGAAGAGGATGATGAAGACGAAGAGAGCGATGACGAGACCAACCCAACCGTTAAACATGTCTACGCCGTATGGAAACTACCCGTCTTTCTAGGTCGGCCTCGCGCACGTGTCTCTACGCCATCCGTCATTTTCACCGCCTCCGCAAGCCTCAAACCCGATGTCTCAGCCGATCTCGACGGGCGAGGGAGCGGTTATCTCCAGAGCGGAGTTCCCTCGGGCTTCAACCTCCTCGAGTCCTTTGGCAACGACGTCGCCCTCGGCGGTGCCAAGCCTCGCCTCTCCGCCCTTCGGGTGTCAAGGGTCGCGCCCGTCACGGGCTCTCAGGACCTCACCAAGCATATCCGTGCACTACCTCAGGTCGAGCACAAGATCTTTCCCGTCGTGCATACCCGGATTCGCTTTTCGCGGCCAACTACGGCACCGACCAGTGCTGCTTTGATTGCTCTGCTCGAGGTTGACTTTACGGCTCATTTCGAGTGTGAGATTTCATTAGACAAGATCGACTTGTCTATCCATGATGCTACTGTCGAGAGCCTCAATGAGGACGCGGGCATGGAACTACCGCTTAGCTGTGTGTCCCACGACCATATCACATTCTTCTATCGCATTGCTCCCCGAGAGTACGACGTTTCACCAAAGAATCCCATGCGAGACCTGGATATTTCCATTTCAGCTACCGCCCAAGTTGTCCCTAGCCGCTGCACTCCTCGTTTGACAATGACATGGACAACCCATCTCGACTTTACCCTCCCTGTTAATCCTGGCTACGGCACGTCTACGACTGGGACGGGTATTGTTCGCTCCCACCGCCCCTCGCAGCTCTCCATAACCGGTCAAGCTGTGCAACACCTCAAGTCTCCATCCATCATTCGCCCGGATGCCTTGCCTGCCCTCGAAGCTGCTACAGCCAACACAGATATCCCAGTTCCAGAGCTCGGCATCACTATGACCTTCACCGGTCCGTCCGAACCTGTGCATCCCGGCGAAGTCTTCTCCTGGACCGTCTACGTTGTCAACCGTATCACGGAGAAGAACCAGCTACCCCCTCGCAAGCTGGCCCTGGTCGCAGTTCCTAAGCGCCGAAGAACTGAGCTACGTATGACACGTCCTCCTTCCGTAGGGGGCCGACGACGTGGCGAGAAGGACATCGCGGATGCCGTCACTGATGAGAATGTGCTGCATGCACTGCAAAAGAATGCCCTTGTCGAGTCTACCGATATCGTATGCCTCAGCGCCGATACTCGAGTTGGACCGCTTGTACCAGGCGCTTGTCACGTTGTCGAGCTTCAGTTCCTTGCTCTGCAGGAGGGCGTCGTGGGCTTGGAAGCAATTCGTGTGGTGGATTTGGGATCAAATGAGCACGTCGATATTAGAGACCTGCCTACCATGCTTGTAGAACCAGCTGCAGCATGAGATACTGGAAATAATGTACAAGTCTCTGTCTTTGACTACCATACTGGTATGATGCATGTCATATCTCAAATGTCGTTATCCATACCGGAATCTTGCCACGTGCCTAACGCCATCTAATGCTATATCCCTCGGGCCTTTATATCGTATGCGCCGAATGAAAACACCGCTGTAACATGCTCCATAAACAACTCATAACAGGTCATCCATGTCATCGTCCCATCCCAATTGCTGGTAAATCGACACTGGCTTTGCGGGCGCAATGTTCTGATCCTCGACGTTGTTGCTCCTTGACGTAGCCTTTACGGGCGTAGCCAATATTCCTTCATCTCTCGATGGTGTAAAATTGACACTTCGGTTTTGTTCTCTGGGTGCGAAAAGATCTGCTGCCGATACATTCCTCCTCTCCATTAGCGGCGATGAAGGCGGGAACGGCAAGACATCCTCCTCTTTGGTAGGTCGGCGCAGAAAGTTTGAGCCACCTTTTGTTGGTGTATCCCCAATTCTTTCAAAGTCTGGGGTTGGGCTTCGGCGGAAAGCGTCTTGGTGACCTGGACGTAGGCCCGTGGACGGAATCATAGAGGGCATGCTTGAAGGGGGAATGACCTCCTCAGTGCCCATCATGTGTACATCTACATTCTCAGACTTTGATGCAAATACATCCCTGAACCGATTGTTTGCTGGCGTAGCCTTGACAACTGAAGCGCCAAGGGAGCTCCGGACAGGCTTTCTGACTTCTAGAAGTTGTTAGCATGCCCCAATAGAATAACAAGGTAGTTGTAGACTCACTCTTTGCCGAAAGACTGACAGTCGCTCGGCGTTCTGCCGCTTCAGCTAATGCCTTACCAACAACCTCACGGTTGGGTTTCCTCAAAGATGAGATAGCATCCTTCAACTCTGCTTCGACTTGGGCCTTCTTGCTGGCTCTTGCATCCTGCAGGTTGGACATGCTGCTGCTCCGGGAGAGTAGCCCGCCTCTCCTGTTCAAGAGATCAGGCTCAGCCTTGAGTCCTGACTTGATTGCTGCAGAATCGCTCGCTTCCCGCTTGATTCCTGGTAGAGAGGTGGACGTTGCGGAACGCATAAGAGCAATCATGTTGCTGGGCCCTCTTGACACACTTCGTCGAGACTGTTGCTCTGTTGAGAGCGCTCTTTGCAGCGTTCTTGTTGGCTTACCAGGTGTAGGACGCTTGGTGACTGCGCCTGGTCTCTGATCACGTTTGCTTGACGATCGCTTCAAGGACCTGGACTTGGAAGGCTTTACGATAACAGGACCGCCCAATTTTCGATTGATCGAGTCACACAGCTCGGGAAGTCGGTGGGAGAAGCTACTCAAGTTAGACACTGCATAACCCAAGATCACAATGTTGATAAACTTACAATGGCACAATAATGTCCACACAAAAGTCTTTGAGAGGCTCCGACGAGGCCTTCTGTCGAGGCTGACCATCTTGGGCCTGGGAGACCTGAGAATCCTCGAGAATCAACTGTTCGTCTGAGGCGGTGGACTGCCAGATGGTCAAGCGATCGGCATGCACATCTACCAAGACAGGCAGATTGTGCTTGTTCCGCTTCTTCGCAGGAGGAGCCGCCATATCGTTTTGAGATTCCGCGGCACCAGGCAAGGGCGGCAATTGGCTATCTTCAGCATCCTCGGCAGGTTTTAATGGGGTCAATGCGATGATCTCGAGGATGAGGATCATCTGAAGTTGGGTTTCTCGGGTGCGTAGCATCGAAGTCAGCGACTTTATCTGCTGAATGGGCACATCGAACTCGTCCTCCTTCAACTCAGGCTTGTTTGCAGCCCACCACTTTCTGATATGCTCGTCTTCATGTGGATAGAGGCCGGACTTGCCAATCTTCATCTTCTTGGGTCTGCGTTTCTTCTTGCGTCCTTCGTCAGAGCTATCAATGGTCGTCTTCAGTTTGGAGATGAGTTCAGGGACAGTGTCGCGGTACTTCTTGTCGATTTGTACCGTGGTCAGGACCAGACCTTTGAGGAATTCGATCAGGTCGCCCATATCCAAGCTGGACTCGAGATCAAGGTGGAAAGCAGAACGAGCCCGGGAGAGTGGTCCTTTGGCAAAGTAGGCGAGCGAGCCCTAGACACGTTAGCTGTAGATCGAGGCCGAAAACTAAGTGTTCGTACCATGGACTTGTACAACGTGTCGAAGTACTGCGCTCGGAGAGCATCAAATATCTCATCGGCAGTTTGTTGCGGAGGAGGCTCCTCGGGGTTGGCCGAGACTGAAGACACTGCTGGCTTGGCATTCTCGGTTGGTATCGCTGCAAGTTCCTCCTTCATGAGGACTGGCGATGGTAGCTTCGGTTCCAGGGGAACGGCAGCGTCCGATTTTCCATCAAGCCTCTCAGATTCTGCCATTGTCGAAACAGATTGTGACCTTGGTCTCTTTCTAACTAGAGACTGAATGGCCTCAATGGCAGCCCGTTTCATCTTTTGGTCCTTGTGCAGTTGTGGCGTCGTGATGGCCGAGGATGCGGGTTGACCCTGGGATTCGAGTTTGACGGGCGACCGCAGGCGCTCGAGGCAAACAGCGGAGGCATCCTTGGCCAATTCTTCCAAATTTATCCAAGAACCCAATCTGAACACAACGTACAATCCATTCTCCTGTCGTTCAAGGGCGTAGACAGCGCGGCTGGACTCCTTTCTGGCAAGGAGGACCACTGGGACCGAGCCCATGCGGCTTTCCAGGTCGAGGATTTTTACATGGGCTTCATAGAATCGGTGTGAAGATAGATCGATGTTGGAGGCATGAATATCGATACATGATAACGGAAGATGCTGGCGAGGTAGGACCATCAACGGGTGGAGGACGCGAGGTTGAATGTGCAGGTTTGGGGGATGTGGCTGTCGATGACGATCAGCATGTCTGTGTACACAGCAGGTACCCGAGTATTAGCAAAAACAAACACTTGGGACACGTACCTTGAGAGCAATTGAGGGCTTTAAAAGATGCTCCATGGTGACAGAGTCGGCCCTCTTCCTCTTGCGCTGCTCAGGAGAACGGAGCTCATCTTTCTGATTCGAGCTTCCCTCGGAGCTTGGCGTCAAAATCCTCGACCGCGGCGGACGCGACGACGCGTCTGTGCCAACGAGGGCGGAAGAGGACATGGACACGGCAGTGTGATCATTCGACGCGGGCCATTTGAAAGTATGTAGAGCTCAAAGAATACGTTAGAATATACAAGCGCGACCGTGAGACCGACAAAGCTGCTGTTGTTGTGATAAAGGGATGCTATCGTGAGCTGTTATGTTAAAGTGGTTTCTCTGGCGCGTGCGCGGTTGTGCCACGAGCGGAGCGGAGCGGGAGGATTTTGGGCGGTGACGTCGGGTTTGGCAGGTGCCCGTGTTTTCGGTTGCCTGCAGTCGCGTCCAGTCGCACTGCGTCCGGGTGGCTACAGTTGACAGGTCGCTTACGATAGGCTCTACAACCACTGAAGACCGCTAAAGACTAAGCGCCCAGACGCTGCAGACCACATTGGCTCTGAACAAGTGCATCAAGACATGGATAAACATTCTCAAACTTGGAATCATGCAATTTCTAATGCATATTATTTTCAGGCATATTTATTAATAGACCTGTCAGTGAACAATATGCAAAGGCCATCCCTGCAAGTCCTGTCAATGGATGTCTAGGACACGCCTTTTGACAGCCCTGGTGCAGCTCAAACCGAAACAATGGCAGTCTACCCACCTAGGTACCTATCCAATTTCAAACTGAGACAGGATAAAGGGTTTCTATCAGTAGTTTGGAGATCTTTTCTAGGGCGAGTATATTCATTCTAGGACATGACAGGATACTGGTTCAACATCCATTCACACTCAGCTCCGTGTCAGACCCCAGGTGTCCGTCTTGACATGGAAACTCTTGGTCCAAGGTCTTCCAGCATTCCAGTCCTTTAGTTGAACCAGTAATGCGAGAGGAACGGATAAAAAACCGCCCACTTGGGTAATAAAGAGAGTTCAAGAATCCAGTTTGGGAGCTTGACGAGTTTTCGTGATTGTCTCCCTCAACAGCTAGTTACCAGCACACTCCCAAGATCTTTTCATCACACACCAATCTGCCAAGGATATCAATCTCGATCGGGAGACCCGTTCGCCCACAATCCCCGCCTAGAGACTTCATGATCCTCACGATATCCACATTGTCGTGCTAGCTGGATAGCTTGTAGCCACAGCCCTTTAAGTCGTCCCGTCCTGGTTGGCTCATCTAGAGCCCCACGCGTTGATGCAAGGGACGCTTCAGCAAAGTTGGCCGTCCCTTGCGTTAGTTGGGCGATGCTCATCCAGGGCAGACTCTGTTGGAAGGAAAGGAAAAAAACCGTCAGCCTCTAAAGCGTATCTATTTAACCGAAGGCCGTTTTTGATCATCGTTCGGTGTGCCGTCAAAGTTTTTTCTATTCAAGATGACAAACAAACACCTTTCAAAGCCGAGCAATGCAAGTGGCTTGTTGCGCGATATGCATCATCTCCAAGGGGCGAAACCGGTTTGTCTGTCAGCTCAGCCTGGCCAAGAAACAGAAAAATATTTTCTGACGCGACCTTGGCCAAATCTCGTTTATTGCACCCACAGTTACCCTCGATCGGTAATCTCAACCGCCCTTGATCGATCCGGCACAATCCCCAGTACTTGCAGTGTCGATCCCCCGCGGGCTCCATCCTTCCCTTCCTTTCCCATCCCTTCCCATTGCAGGACCAAGAAACTTGGCTGCCCTGGGTGGGGCCTTGTCCGGGGTGGGTCGCCGAGGTTCCCGGTCCCCCCCCTCCACTCGCTCGGTTTGTCCCGTTCGGAGTGTGACCGGGTCCCCGGCTGTACGACAATGGACGGGCGTTGCGACACCTGCTTCCAATTCATCTTCATTAGACTTTATCGACTGTCGCCTGTCCACCCGGCTTCTCCTCCCGTTCCTGTTTAGGACGGGCGACCTGATGGGAAAGGAATGTGCTGCACCACCACGAGAATCGTAGAGTTTGAGGCTTGGCCCGAATTCTCGCGCCGTCGCGGTTGGACCTGAGTGCCGTCGTTTGTCGTCCGTTTAACCTCGACTCTATCTCCTGTTGGTGGCTTCAAGTGAACGTTAGGGGGATCGCACAACAAGTCTCCCCCGATGAACCATCCAGTGATCATGTTACCTTCTGTGACATCACCGGTGGATCATTGTAGATGAGGTCACATGGATTCTTTTTAGCTTTGGAAACGTTTTGTCTTGATTGGATTTGTCTTTTTTAGGGCTCTATTCTGCTGGCTGCTGGCCCTCTAACAGTCCTGGCATCCGTATGTCGTTACTCTCCAGATGAGACTCGACGAGGCTGCCTCTGCCCGCAGTCTCCAACTTGTGAGCTGGCGCTCTATCTGTCACATCCTCTCATGAAATGTTTTTCCACAAAGCTTCCCAAGTCATCCCGTTATGCTCCCCTATGTTCAACCCAGAGCGCCGACCTGTACCGTCCTCCCATTACATTAGGGTATGATGCCTTTTTATGTTCATTCGTGAAATACCAGAAGACAGAGACAAATAGAAAGTGGATGGGGGTCGATAGCAGCAACAATGGCCATCATCGATTGATATGGAAGCTAGACAAGGAACACCCAGTCCGTATTGTACAATCTCCCATCGAGAAACATGAATGGATATCGCTATAATGCAAAAATTGATAAAATCACAGTCCGCTGGTGATAAGTGGCGTGTGCGTTCGTGTACGTATGTTTGAGGTAGGTGGTGTAAGGAGATGGTTGCTTCTTCGGCTCGTTATGTGAAGCTCGACGGTGTCATGTTCATGAACTGCACATTCTGCTGGCCTGGCGAGGAGTGTGCTGAGGCAGAAGCATCGTCGGACCAGTTATACTCGGCGTTACCACCAGCGAAGCCAAAGTAGGCGGGTCCCATCTGGGCACCATAGGAAGGTGTCTGAGGCTGACTAGAACAGTTGTTGGAAAGGTAGTTGGGCACTTGGCCCGATGCCCCAGGCATGTCAAAGTCGTGGGGGAAACCACCCAGTCCAGGAGTAACCAGAGGCTCGTCTGATACTGCAACCTCATATGCTGAGTCGGCGTTGTAGAGGTTGTCCATGACACCAGGTGTGGTGGGTGGTGTTCGAAGAGTTGGGTCGTGAAGGGCGAGATCCATAGGATACTTCTCCTCATATGCTACCGTGCTGGATGGTGTGGCCTCACACAATCCTTGCTGAGTTGTGACAACAGGTGTGTTGGGAGTGGGCGGTGCGATCGTTGTAGCTCCCGTGAAGTTAGGAGAACGGTTGAGCTGCAGGAGCATGTCGGGGTTGCGATCAAAGTATGGGCTTCGAGGTCCACCTGAGGGTTTACTGATGCGACCAACTCCTGTAGCCGAAGCAACACGGCGAATCGAGTTGCCGACGTCTGCCCTTCTTCCCATGTCGACCCCGGTTCTAGGGGCACATGCCGAGTAGCTGCGAGAAGCATTGATAGCAAGCTGAGGGGGTCGTCGGTTTCGTCGAGAGGCAATGTCCATTGCGGGTGACGGCTTCAGCGGCGCCATGGCCTGGGCGACCTCGTTGACGGCAAGGTTGCTGTTGGTATATAGATACTGCTCCTGCACAGGAGATGCGGATAGTCTGCTAGGGACGGGGAAGCACTGCTGTGGCAGGCAAGGGGTGGGCTCATCCTCCTCGTTAGGCACAATCAGTTGAGGATACTGACCATAGCTAGAGGCCGAGACAGGTTCGGGAGTCGCCTTGGCAGAAACACCCAGGGGCGAGCTAGCACCGAAATCCGACTGACTGGCATCGGTCTCGCTGTCATGCTCTGGTGTGGACAGGTCTGTAGGTCCAGCCTTGACAGGACGTTGCACGGGGAAGGGGGCGCTCGAGACAACTCGATCGCACCGCCGCTCATCGTCAGAGTAGACACCGGCTTCGTTGGAAGCCTTCTCCTTCTCCATCTTCTGCTTGGCAGCATATTCACGGATGTTCTTCTCCTTCTTTTCCCGTGCTCGCCGGTTCTGGAACCAGTTCTGTCATCATGTTAGCCATGGATGGATCTTGTTGGAAGGACTCAGGTAACAAACGTTGATGCGGGCATTGTCGACTCTCATGGACTCGGCCAGGGCCTTCTTGGTGCTGCTGTTGGGCTTGTGGTTCTTCTGGAACTCTGCCTCGAGGATCTCGACCTCTTCCTTGGAGAGGCGAGGCTTTGTCTCAGTTGTCCTAGACATCTGGTGATGATGGAGGAGGTGACCTTGGTGGGCATTGTACAGCTCCATCGACTCCGGGAGGTAAGCGGCATAACTGGGCAGCTGCTGAGAATATCTGGGGTATTGGTTGGCAGCACCGTGGTAGCCCCAGCCAGCCCATTGGGGCTGATGGTAGGAACCCATGTTCTCCATCATGGGCTACTTGTGTGGAATGTGGGAAGTAGACTGGTGGTGGTGGTTGGAATGAGGGTTCAGTCCCGCGTGGGATCGTCTTGGTCGAGACCTGTTTGGCCTATGAAGCGTCGATGGAGATTGAACGAGTGGCGGATTGGATCCGGTCAACTTCAAGCAAAGAATGACTTGGTGAGAGCAAGACGTTGGATGATATCAAAGAGACAAAAAGAGTGAAGATGTCGTAGGTGATCGGAGGTGGTTGAGAGTGGTGGATTCGGGTCGTCTTTTGAATAGGCGCTGTTGGATGTCAAGTGGGCCTGGGCAAGCGAGAAGGGTACCGCAATGGTGAGACAAAGCTCACTTAAAACTGCCCTCTTAAGGATGAAGTAGACGAAGGAGGTCTTTGGTCGGAAGGGAAAACAGTCATGGAGGATGGGACGGGCGTGGGAGGGTAAAAGAATGAAAGACATGTACGCGTTGCGGACGCCGGAGCTACACACACAGCACACAGCCAGCCTGGGCCTTGGAAACACCGGTAGTCATCTGGCCCCGTCATGACGGTCTGCGAGATGGCGTGTGGGTTCGCACCCGAGTGAACTGGGGTGGAGGAGAGCAATCAGACCCCTGGATCCCAACCACAGACCGTGGCCGGGGGAGGAGATCACATCCGCCATCGCGGCGAGGGCTTCGGTACAGGGAGTACCCAGGAGAGCTCCAGCCCAAGGTCTCCTCAAGGGCAGAGTCGCAGCGGCTCCACGCTCAGGG